TTATCGGTTAAACCGCGTGCTGAATTTTCTATCGCGAGCGGTATTGATTATGCAAATTCCTTTCTTCGTTTTAAACAGATCCCAGAGTTCCAGGTTCGAGCGTCGCGATGCCGCATTCTTGCACGTAATATCGTAAGTTTCGCGTCTCGGTAGCGTATGTTAACACCGGAAGTTGAATTCAAACAGTGACCCTATTGACTCTCACAATTGCATTTCGACGTGCCAGAACAACCAGTCGCATAAATAACGCGTTCACGTGGAAACAACTTCCCGCGACTTTGACATGAATTCGCATTAAAAAGATCGTTCCTTGGGTACTTTCAGATATTTATTATACCGCGATAATAATTTATTTAAGCCTATTTATGTTCGAATATATATGAAAAGTGTAAAAGTACGGAAGAATTTACCAGCTAGGTCTCCGAGGTCAAAGTAGCATTAAGTTCCAAGATACCTGGACCTGCCACAACGCGTTACTTCCACTTGTACCATAAAAACTATTTTAGACCGTCCCACAAACTACACAGAACCTATAAAATCCCGTGAACTTGGAAACACCAACACCTGGACCTAAAATTTTAAAGTTACTAGACTTCGCTGCCCTACCACTACACAACCGCTAAACTTCGAGTTTCTGTTTCATCCCATGAACCATAAATCACGCGCAGAAGTAGTACGATGTCCGTGTTACAGTTCTGACAAGGAAATCCAAACGAATCGGTCAATTAAAATTCATTTTGTACAACGCATCGTACATCAAGCGGTGTCTGGCCAGTGACACTCCTATACTACTTACAGTTTGCTTAAAGTCATCGTCGATCACTGCACGAGAAACCTTGGTACTGCGACTACCAGATCAAATTTACCGATCTCGAATTTTGTTATTTTTACATGGACACTTAAAGCATGCTAATATTTACAAAAATATTAATATTACTACTGTAATTACTGTCTATGCCTACTATATTCAAGTACACGTATATTAATATTAATATTAATATTAACCCAATCGAAATAACACGACTCGCGAAGTATCCTACATTCGATTTCCTCTAAAACTTTAAAAACCAAAACTAAATGATAGAAATTGCTCCTATAGCCTCTCGTTCGTGCCCAGTTCCCTGCATTTTCCCATTTCGTCGTAAACGCGCATGCATTCGTAGGCTCATCGAATTTCCGTGTGTTCTTCCGTCATAAGAGAGGTCTGTGTAACTTCATATCGGAATACGAGTAAACGGGAGACGGAACAATTAACGCGCTTAACGTAATTTGTTTCGAGCACGTTACCAGCGTCATTCGATCATCGCAGTGAAAAGGGCGGGGTAATTGGCCCTTGCGTAAAATGAATTGCAAATTCGCCAGCGATATATCAATATACTCACCACAAGGGCAAGTTGATTAGCGATACGTTAAAATTAAAATCCAATATTCGTGCTAACCATAAATGGAAATGAAGACGGAATCATGGGGTTCGAATACGAAATGTTATTTTGTTTCCGAACTATGCGATAAGAGTAGAGATCGAAGCCTTAACTTTTCCAGATCGAACTTCCTTTCTTTATTTTAATCGCACGTTGTTTCAGCTCGGCTACTTTAGAAACGAATATAAACACGTTTCATCGACATGTTTATTTGTGTTACACTAAAATATAACACAGGAAATGGTAATTTAATAATAAATTGATCACGTAAGCGTCTAATGAAACTCTCAGAAAAGATTCGACCTTCCAAATATCATTTTTAATTATTAATAATTTGAATAGGAGATTTGGAAGGTGGAATCTTTTCTGTGAGTCACATCACACGTTTATGTGACCAATTTATTATTAAATTATTTATTTATTAATAATTTTATGAAAAGGATCATCGACGTGTATATTAATAAATTAATATTTAACACACGTAGATTAATTATATATATAAAATATTAATTAAATAATAAACGAAGAACGTTATTATATTTTAATATCTGCATATCAAATACCAGTGCAATATAATATACGACTTCCAAATATTTCTAATTTCGAATCATATTACGTATTATAGATAAAAATAAAAATGAAGTGCATCGTACCTTGCTATTTTCCATTTTCATATAAAGATATCTTACAAACGAACATTCTCCGATATCTCGAAATACCATCGCGTACACGACGGTCACAGGCATCCACGAGCTCTCGATTCGCGTGAAATTGAATTAACGATGTTCATTCGCGAATGAATCTCGACGGCGCGAAGTTAAACAACCTGCCAGGCTTGTCCGTCGCGAGACCGAATTTCAGCTCGTTTCATTTTGAATTGGCGTGTTCGGTTCATATAATTTGCGACCGAATTCCCCGTCTTTATCGAATTTAAAACGTCGATCGACGCGTAATTATCCCGTGGATAAATTGCGGCTCGTTTCACCTCGGGGAGCAGCTATCGAGCTTCGCTAATCCACCGTGCAGATTTTAGAACACCGACGCCTTTCTGGTACCCGCCTCGCTCTCTGCCGCTCCAAGGTGAATTGTGCGTTAAATATTCACCGTCATGAAACGATACTCTTGAGATGGGTTCACGTATAGGTATACGCGGTTACCTTTTCATCTACTCGTTCTCCTTGCCCGGAGCAGAATTCGTTTGATCGGTTGACCGAGTCCTGGTTAATCGAACGTAGTTCCTTCCTCGAATTTTCGCAGACGCGGTTTAGTGGATATTCATCAACGCGAAGCGATATCGCGACTCTTTTCGTGACAATATCGCGATATATCCGTGAGGTTGCTTTTCCATTGACTTGCACTCCTAGCGCAGAGCGGAAGTGATCCGATGGATTTATCGAGATATTTTTCTCTCGTTGTTTCTCTCGAAATTTTTAGAAATCCGTGCTTTTCATTATTATTCGTCATTTATTTTCGCGATACTTTGCTAATATGCCTATGTATTGTAATATCACTTTTTCAGTGGTTCTCTCTAAATTTTCGCAGAAGCGTTTTTCACAGGGACATTCGTTAACGCGAAGCGACATCGTAAAGGTTTCCACGATAATTGTATCTCGTAATAGTATATCGTTTGTCAGCGTAGTTACCTTTTACCCTTTTCATCGACTCGTACTCCTAACGCAGAGCAATCTGATCTGATCGATTAATCGAACGTTATGTCCCTTTAGATTTCCGCAGACGCGTTATTTTCATGGTCACTCGTCAACTTGAAACAACATCGACTCTATTTTCGCAATAATTGCGCAGTACCTATGCAGCGTTACCTATTCATTGGTTCGCACTCCTGGCGTAATGCAAAATTGACGCGATGAATTAATCGAGTCCTGGATAATCAGTTTCCCTCGAAATTTCCACAATGTCGGTTCGTTTTCGCGAGCTCGTTGCAGCCGAAATCGATACTTTGATTCCATGTGACCGGAATCGCAAACTACCCTTTGAAACGACGACAATCAGCAGCGCGATTAAAATTAAATCGAACGATCGGATTAGGGAAAGCGCGAACGAAGGTGTCGGCGTCCTTCGTGGCCGAAAATAGCACAAATTTCGCCGGCTAAATTTAATTACGAGTCATATTCATCGAAGCGCGTAGAAGGGAAATTAAGTACATAGCTGTAACAACGAAGCGTATTTCGGCTGCGCGCGTTAATAGAAGGAAATTTGAATTTCTCACGCGAAATGTCAGTGACACGAACTGCGAGCTAACACAGACTAAGACTATTGCAGTTTTCGACAGCAATACCTCGGGGTGTTTATCCAACGTGAAGAGAGCGTTTCTGTTTTTGATTACGGAATGAATAACTTGCGCGTTGTGCGAATTATCGCCCGAAAGTACGAAATGATCCTGGCGATGAGCCACGCTTCCGAGAAATTACATCCCAGTTATGACTCGAACAAACTTCCAAAGGATAATCGATTACACTGTTCAACGCGAATTTTAATCTATACTATCTATTGGGTAATTCTTGAAGAGTTTACTTTCCCGAGCAAATCCCTAATCTAAATTGCTCTAGCACCCTCAGTTTCCGAAGGATACGAATTTTAAAAACGCGCAATTTTTTACTAAAATAAAATATTACATAAAAAGTAAAAACGTTAGAAGGTTCATTATTGTCTTACAAATTAGGGAAAAGTATCTCGAGTTTATTAATAACCATAATTATAATTATTTGTGCTTCTAGATAATTATAATTGGACGTCAAAATTTAAAAGTAAGCTTCTAAGCACTATTCTTGCAAAATTTGTACGAAAAGTTCTTTACTTGACACTAATTTGCTATACAGTATCGTATAAATACATAGAGGTAAGGGGATATTCGGTTCATTGAACCTACCTAGATCGTTGACGCTTTCGAAATCTATATCTCTCGCGTAGTACGAAAACAGGATACGACACTGTTTTTGTCTCATGTTAAATAGTTCGCGCTAACCCTGCGTTTACGTCGGTGTTTTTGTCCTCTACCCTCGCTTAAACTCGTCGCGTCTCGCTCACTCTCGTTATTATATACGACGCGACACTAGTCTGTTTATAAACGAATACGCTGCGCGATAAGGGGGGATTTGTGTTACCTAGCATTACGACTGTGTTGGAAACTGTGACGTCACGAGCAAGAACGTTCGAATTCCTATCGGTAGCCACCTACCGGTAGTCTACTAACGATACCTGACGCCATTTTGGACGCGCACTACTTTTTCATTATTTCCAGAACATTCTACCACAGTAATAGGATAAATTACGCTGCTGTACTTTTATCTTATACTAAATACTTAAAACTAATCCTATATCTACGCTAATGATTTATAGCTATGTATTATGTACTATGTAGTAGTCCGGATCTATCCTCTTTACTCTCTTGATTATACCACGCGACACTTTTAACGGTTATGTAACTATCGCGTAATTAACGCACTTAAAGTATGGCTTATCTAGCTATCTTTACGATTGCGCTAAAAAATACGTACTACGAAGTACTACGCTCTTATGCTATTATACTACGAGTAAAATTCCTGATGAGTACTTACATACCTCGAAGCTACGCAAAATATTATATCCCGGTGTCCAGAAGAAGCAGCCAAACGAACGTTAGCGATCGGCGACGGTCGGCAGGAGACTGGTTCGTTAATCTTCGACTTTCTTCGACGCTCCGTCGTATGTCAACGTTCGGCAACTCTCGACTGCAGGCGATGTTCACACCGAAAAATTACATGCCGTGTGGGCTCAAATTCAAGCGCGTTCTTTCCTGTCGTATATTCCCGCTTACCCATGATTCTAGAAGTTTCTTTCCCCCACTCCCGCACGTATTTTCATAAACGATTCATAGATGACGCCACTTCCTGAAGCTGAAGACGTTTTATCATCCTCAGTTTCCGAAAAATGTTTTCTCAAAAGAGATACTCTCACCTAACTTGTAAAACAAGAATACTTTTTATTTAATATTTCATGTTGACCAAAAATTGTGTCTTTTAAAAAAAACTCATATTTTTGGAAACTGAGATTGACAGAATAACTTAAATTAATTATTAGCTTTTGATTAACACTAGATTCACGGAACCTGTCAATTCGACAGAAAGGTTGATTCAATTATACAATGGTAACAGATTTCGTTAACTTATATTAAGACTGTTAATATAATATATAATTGTTTTTAAATTAAGCTAATCGTTAAAAAAAAAGGCACCTGGTTTCCTTTACCTGTCAATTTGACAGATGTCCTTAGAAATAGGTGTACAGATAGCGTCCGTAAACCTAGTGTTAATAACCTAAAAATTTTTAATTCGTTGGACAGTGTTATTCTTTCGCGTCGTTCGCGTGATGCAGACAAAAGATGCAAAAAGAAAAAGTAACGTATCGATTCCTGCTTTGGAACAATATTTCTGCGTAAAGAGCAGACAAAAGGTACGTGTTCGGATACATAGTTTTAATTAAAAACGAATAACAACGTGTTCAATCCGCAGGGGTGTAGCGAATTCCAACAAAAAGTCGATGCAAAACGCATAATTTCTCCGCTGTCGTGGAAAGTCAAGGAAATTGAATTCAAAGGAAAACAGAGCCATCGATACGATGCTACACCGCGATACTTCGCGGTGATCGTATTTTTCCATTTTGCAGGATAGTAAACGCGTAACCATCTTCGTTTCGATCATCGAGAAACTTAATTAAATCGTGAAAAAAAAAGAGAAAGGAATGGAAAAGAAAAGAAAAGGTATGGTTGCAGTAGCGGAGAGGAAAAATGGCAGTCGCCGTCGGAATCAGCGAGTAGCTGAATTGGATGTTCAATCACAAAGTTGATTATCGAACGTTCCCAATCAGGAGTCAGTTATACCGGAAATCGAAACGGTTCCCTAGCCGGGATCAAAAATGCAGCCGAGAGAAAAACGTCGCCGACACCGATTCTTTTGTACCGTTAGTCATTCTCGGCGGAGAAATTCGTTTTCCATTCCGATGATTGATTCGGCTTTGAAAACGTATAAAAGCCGCGCGAGGGTGGAAAAAGGGATGAGAATTGCGGCGACAATGGTGGAGAAAACAGGCGTTGATCAAGCAACGCGTGCGAATAGAGTAGATCATTTCGATCGTGTCTCTTTCTTCGTTTCTCTTCATAGCAGACAAAGTGTTAATCATCACTTGTATCGAAAAATTTCTCGTTGTCTCGGAAAGAAAAGAAACAGGAGGTTAACTTGTAATCACTGCTGGTTTATCGTTCTCGATACATTCTTATTTAATTCTTAATTCATTCCCGATACTCGTGAGTTCACAAAGATACTTATTTTAGGTAAACGAAACGGGAGATTTGCACGTCTTGACTAAGCACATTCGGTATGGAGTAATTAACATTGGTCTAATTAAAACGCGTGTATTTCGTGAAATTCTATGTGAGGCGTAAAAGAGCGAAATATAAGGGCAACGTCTATAAATAAAATTCCATCTTGCCGGAGGAGAATGAAAAAACGCGACAGGACTGAAAAAAAATAGAGGATTAAAGATTATGTTCCGTGGGTTAATTAAATTCTATTTTCTATTGGCGTTAAAGAGCGATATCGAGCCTCTAATAAGCGACTAATGGCGTCTAACTTGAAAGCGAGTTTTACATAGTGTTACACGCATGAATAGGAAGCTAAGTATCGAGGCCTGGCAGAAATTTTCCGTCAAAGACTTTGAATGAAGCTCCGACTGATAAAAACCTGTCCTTAATGAGAAAAAAAGAGAAAAAGACAGTCTGGTAGACCTTTCTTTATGGAAGAGTACACGGTTCGCTCGAGCGAGTAATCGGCTCCGACCATCGCATTCGCTAACGAAAGCGGGGAAAACGCAGCAGCTATGGTATACTCATTTTATTTAGAAACGCGTGAAATATCTAATAAAAATAACGAATATCCGATTTCTATGGAGATATGAAATTTCACAGAGTTAATTTACGGTTCTTTTTTTAGAGCTAGCTCGAGAGTGGTCAAAGTGGACGAAAATCGCTCGGCTTGCACGAACGAGAAAGCGGAGAAGCGTCGTGATAGCGACGCTGAAAAATATCATGTTCTCCCGTCTACGATGATAGACAGCTACGAAACCGGAAGACGTGGCGGAACGTGTTAGCGTGGCTTCCGGAGCTCGCGATTTTCTTTGATATTTTCCCAAAGATAGAGCTGGTATTAGCATTGTTACGTCGATATTAAAAACTCATCAGTTCCAGAGGCCCCGTGGGACGGTGTAATGGATTTTGCAGGAAATTATAAACAACTTTTCGCGAAATAACTTCCTCCGCGACTGTTTATAACGACGTTGCCTCTTTTTCTTCCACTTCCACGTTGACTCTTGCCAATTGATTCTCCCAACGCGAGTTGCGCGACTATTGCATAATGATCTCGAAGTTGGACGTTGTACACGATACAACGTTTGTGCAAAGAATAATTTCTCGACAGAAGAATAACTGCTTCGACGTGGGATGACGTCTGGTTATAAATAGCAGGGATTTACATTCAACGCAGTCGTGACTGTCAATGTATATTCAGAAAAATGAAAGAAAATTTTTTTTTAATATCCAATGCAGAGGATTCGATAAAAAGTCGTTCACCGGTCTTCTGGTTATATCAGAGACATTATCAGAATTGCGAAAGAATTACGTAAAGAGGATCATTAAAGGTGAGGATTAGCAAACTCCGTGTCCAAGTTACAGCTGTTGAACAGGTAACCACCGATGCTGATCACGCCGTAAAATACCAGTGGATTTTTATGTTCACGCTTGTAAAACACTGACGTGAAGTATCGCGTGTAACGAGATATACCTCGACATCGCTGTAGCGTCTAATTAATCATGCTCGTCGAGTGAAACGATTGCAGCTGCCGCATTTCAAATCCAGAGACGTTGATAATCTACTCGAATTAGCCGACTCGAAATATCTGTAAACGAACATCTCGAGCTTCTCGTGTGCCCTTCAAAGCGCGTTCAGACTACTAAGAACGTCGTCAAGCGCGTTTTCTTCAGAGAGAGAGTAGCTTCGTTAATCCTGAATTTCATTAGCCTCAAGTTGGATTTGAAAGCCGATACAGAGATGCAAAATGGAAGGAGCTCGATCGATTCTCCGTTTCACGCAATTTGCTATTTTCACGCGGGATCGATGAGGAAACGGCCCGGACAAGAAAATCCATCTTGTCGAACGATACACAAAAGCAAGCGGAAAGGCTGTTCCGATGATTAAACGACCTCGAACCTTCCGTCCAACGCTGACTGAAGCTGCTTCACGATGCGTGAAAAAATGATAGAGAGAACCAGGCGGTAGAACACGGTTGCAGGTTACTGTCTAAGTAAACGTTTAACCCATCGCCCGTGTCCACCCTTATCATCTCCAGACGATTAATTTCGAAGCAGTGGCGGTGCATCGGGAAGGGAAATGCCGCGAGTAATATCGTTTCCCTTGTCGACCGTTTGTTCGCTCGCTTGTTCCAATTTCGACCCGACAATTACGGTATTGGCAAACGGGAAAAGTACGGCGGACGTTAAGGGAGTAAGCGAAGTTTACAGAAACATGTTGAATATTAAGGAACGTCAATGTTGACTTGGCAAAGTTCGGCAGAAGTAATTTTAACTTCTCGACCAAACATCAAAGCGAAAAGGCTTTAAATTGCACGCGGCCGACCCGGCAAGGGTTGAAATTGAGCTACCCCTGGAACGAACACCCGACTGCGGAAGCTTCGCAAAGAAATATCGATAAGCGTGTAGTACAGGTCGGATAATGAAAGTAAAACGTCGTAACGAGTAAATTGTCTCGGCAGCGTCCACTATATACTAGTCTCTACTACTCCCCCGGTTAACATATCGCACGCCGGCTACGTATGTAGATTTCGGCTGTTACCAGAAATGAATATCGGCAAAAAGATACGTTACCTATAGTTATCCTCGAGGTAGATTACGCTTTAGTGAAAATAACAGCACACCTCGTGGTTTCCTATGTTTCTCGAAACTAACACAGTGTATGCACGTGCTACATATGTACTTACTCGTATAATGTATCCGGTCCTTAATAACACAGAGGAGTATTAATTGCAGTTTACATTTGTTTCTACAAATTTTACTCGTTTGTGTGAAGAATGGCTGTATCGGGCAGGATAACACAGATCAACGAGATTTTATTTTTTCAAAATGCTTTTTACATATTTTCAAACGCTGAAACTGAATCTGGCAGCAAAAATAAATAAAAATGATCAATTTCTACTATTTCTACGAAGATATTTTAAAGATACTAAATCTTCTTATTATCATTATCAACTGCTACGAGTTATACTAACCTTCTCCTGTGAAATCTAATTTGATCTATAATTGCATGATCTTTTTTACCGAAATACACCTAGTGGAAGTACACGAGAGACACCGAAAATCGTACAGGGTGCTATCACTTTGTATACTGTATATCGAGCTAACTGTAGTCCTATCTCCGTTTTCGTAGAATTATTTGAAACGGTTTGGCGAATTGACTCGTATGTGTATTTAGTAATAAGAAAATCGCACAATATCGCGAGAACGTGATGCATTAGCACTCGATCCCGTTAACATTCCCGAGCCAACATCGCTTCGAAGTATTCGAAAATTCACAGACACCTCTCGATCTCGACGCATACCGCGTTCTAAAATTTACAGCCATGATTCATTCACGTCTTCTATTAGATCGCACATACGTACGAAGATCGCGGGAATCAGGGATCCCCGGCGACCGCGTTATATTCGCGTCCCAGGCGAGCACTCGGCCAATTAAATAGCACGCTATAACCGTAAAATCGCGTTAAAGCGGCCAAGAACATCAAGCTGAACTTAATTACAATGTGCCGACGCCGGAGATGCCGGTAATGGCCGGACGCGCGGGAAAACGGCCCCATCTCGAAATCCGCTCTTCGCTCGGACGAATTAATTAAACGTTTCGCCGGTGGCTGAGAAAGAAATAGCTGGCACTGTGAAATCGCGGCTTGTCGCGCTTTTCCACGTTCCCACTGATAAGCCCGAAAGAGTTCACGCCTGGCCGGTTCACCCCGGCGACTGGTCATTTGTCGAAACCGTTAACACTGGCCGCATCCGAATTGCAAATTTGTGGTAATGGAAGACGTGCTGGCGAATATAAACTAGACGACCCGGTGCACGCGAGGTTTGCGTTTCTTCCACGTTGGACAAAGTCTCTGCTACATTTCGACCAACCCCGGGCCGAACTGGGCGCTTTGTGTCACTGAGTTCGGTCGCTGGCTAAAATGTTTTTCGTTTCAAACCCCTCTGTTTCTGTATATACAGTGGATCCCGGAAGTATTCCAACGGCCGGATCTAAATTTTAATTTTTCCTGTACGCGTTGCACCCGAAATATCGAAAGCTATGGGGAAAAATGACAGTGAATACGAGACAGGTGAAACATCGGAGGCACAGATATCGATGTTTCCCATGGGAAACGTAGGTACATATATCGCGATTGAAATCAAAGATGGCTAGATTAAACGTTGACAACGAGAAGTTAAAGACTGCAAATCAAATAAAATTATTGGCAATGACAAATCGAGGAAAATTTCTTAAATAAAAAACAACGCGAAATTGATATAATCGAATAAAATTATTCGACCTACTTCAGTACAAATATTCTCTTCCATACATGACGATATTCGTTCTCAAAGTATCAACATAAAGAGCAAAGAAATAATTCGATATCTTAGTAACTCCGTATCTACCGCAGTGTTTCTACCACACGATGTCTTACCTTGTTAATTTCAAAGAGCAAATTCATCTAGGATTAATTCACTTGTCAAAAGTTCAGGTCACAGGTACCGGAATACTTCCACGACAGACTGTACGCGTATGTCCACGTGTGCTCGCGTATCAGGTCCGGAAAAGTGGTTCTGTCCGCTTTCCCGTCGAGCCTGGACGTAAGTACGGATGATGGAATGTAGGTCAGTGTAACGATAATTTTATTCATCGAAATCGTTTACCCCGCGAATCGCGTAACTCCTTTCAACGAGACGAAGAATCACGGATCTCGTATCCAGAGCTCAGTGATTCCAGAGGACCGAACGTTTATCGCGATTATCCCTGGTTGGGGGTGGTAATCGATGGGTAGAACATCCGTGGAACACGGAGGACGTGGGCAGATAAAAGTTTCCAAGTTATTTGTAAAGTTAAGGAACCGTGGAGCAAATAAAAGGATCCCTCGATTGATCGATGCTGCCCGTATATTCGGCTGGGCTTCTTTCAATCCCGATCAGATACACCCAATAATACCCTCCATCCACGATACGGATGATCATCGGCTCTTAACCACCGTTTCTGCCAATTCGAATACCGTCCGGACACTTTCTCGTCATTATCTCACAACCCAAACAGCTCGATATTAATTACTATCGGAACCAGACACGGGGAATATTCCGCACAGACTGTAATCATCGCGGTTACGATAATTACGAGCGTTCTGCGGAATACGTAACGGGTATAGTACAAATCTCGAAAGTTGCCATTATAAATAACACGAGAGCTATAGTTATAGCCCATTCCTCTTGACTCCCAAGATATATCTTCGGTTTCTCCTGTTTCTACAATAGCGTTAGAAGAGCTGTACCTACCACCCCGTGGCCAATCGGTATTTTTCCCAATTGCCGGCTTACCGGACTCGTAAAACACTGGCATCGCGATAAACACGCGTGTTCGCAACTGTTGCGCGCAATCGCGGAATTTATCGAGCAAACTGGCACGTTTTATGAGCAGTAAAGAAAAACATTTCCTAGGCAAAGTCGGTGGTGACAGAACGCGGATGTTTGTCTACAGGAAGTTCGAGGCGAAGGTGGAGTCGCGCGAGTCGTAAAAGTGACGGCCAGAGGGGTGAGAGAAGAAAACGGGCCAAGGTTGTACATTACCGAAATCGAGTAATTTCCGGCCTCCATTCCCGATCAGGAACCGTACGGATCGGTAGTCCCGGCCCAATGCTGATTTCGCCACGAATTTATCGGCAGGAGGTTAAATCGCACGATCCCGAGTAACGACGATCCTCCTTCGATAGCGGATGTAAAACTTTTATCATGTCTCCGGACGATCCCTGTGAAAACACGAAAGGTTAGTGGAATTGATCGTTACTCCTTTTATCTCGGCAACGAAGGAACTTCCTGGAGTGTGAACCGTCACGTTCCAGGAAGAAAGATGAGGATCGTTAAGGGATCTCCTCGTTCCTTCGCGGTCGAGATAAATAAGATGAATTTTTGGCCGCTACGCTGCCTCGTTTCGTTATAGATTTCGATAGCTGGACGCGGGTCGAGTGCGATGCACACGATAAGAGTATCGGAGATGGAAAATCTAGAACGAAAATTTAACCGGCCTCGTCATTATCCCGCGTATAAATTAACGATCGACGAAATTTTCAGAGCGCCTGTCCATCGAACGGTGTAACGGAAACACGAGGCTACCATCTAGAGACTGAAAAGGTCTTGGCGAAATTCTCATCGACGTGACCCGGCGGATGCGTCATGTCGCCCTACGAGGTGCACGTTTACGAGCGGAACCTTACTTGAAGACGCAGAGCCGAGGCGAAACGCGCGGAAAAGCTTCTAAATTACAATGTCAACGCCCGCCACGGACCCGCTGCCGTCCACCGTTTCCGGGGAATTGACGACCGCTCTTATACCGACGGTTACCAAGATCGATACGCGGCTGGACGTCAATCCCATTTCGGTGGTTTTGGCGGTGTCGATAGTCTGCATTTTATCACCGATCACCGTCACCGGAAACTCCATTATCCTGGCGGCCTTCTATAGGTACAAGAGGCTGCGAACTGCATCCAATTACCTGCTAGTCTCTTTGGCCGTCAGCGACTTCGGGGTAAGCTATGGTGTAATTTTACTACCACCGACGACCCATCAACTTCGACGCGTTAAATAGGGAAATTCTTGTTTTCTCTCTCTCGACTATCATCGTGGTTCAGTGATTCTCGGCTTCTCTTCATCCAACGACGTACGCGAGCTCGTCACCAAAATTCTGTGGCCCCCTGGAAATATATTTTTATCCATACAAGAAACGGTAGATAGAATTTAATTTACACCAAACTTGCTTTATAATAATTGCTTTATAAATAATTCGTCACGGCGTTTTTGAGAATTATAGAGGTGGAGCTTGGAATTAAACGAGAAGGGGGTTAAACAATCCTCGCGTATCGACCAATATCGTGGACTCTAAAGTTTCATCGAAATTCGCCTGAAAGGAGACATCGACATCGAAGTACCCCATTGTCCCTCGAGATTGATCGTCTAACAGGATATTTTAATTAGTCAGCTAATCAATCAGAAAACGGGGCGAGGGTTCCACCCCCGGCACAACTCGTGCGGCAGTCCTTCCGCCGCGATTGATGTTGACACGCTTTACTCCAAGTACATACGGTTGGCCCAAATTAATCGATCAAACCGCGCCTGTATATTTTATGCGCAATAAATACGGATGGTACATGCGCCATAATAGATCCGATACGGTAATATAAATCTCCACCATCGAACATTATTACGGATTATTAAAAATTTCAGGCCGATCCGATCCGACCCGATCGGTAATGAAAGCCCGTATCGATGCCCGTTATCTTCCCCAGTATCCGATCGTAAACTAGACCGTGGCGGTTTCATCGTTCGAGCCAGAAGCACGGCCCATGTACTCCATAACCACCTAATTGCCCAAAGCGGAGCACACTTCGCTATTACAGCCCAATATACAACTCGAGAACCGATCCGCTTTGCCGAACGATCGCGATATTCCTGGCGAATATCATTTTGCACCGCGTTTAATTTCACGCTCCGACATCCGACCGGGCCGGAAACGCAACGCGGAGTACCACTTGCAAACGCGTTATCATAAAGCTTTCATTTCGCTCCGCCTACCGTGCGTTCTTCGGACCGGAAGTTCCATAGGGGCTCGCCGGTTTTCGCTCCCAATTCTACGGGTATACGTTAATCCGACGTTATGTATCCACTTGCACGCAGGTCGGCGTGTTCATGCCCTTTGGGATGCAGCTAGAGCTGTCCGGTCTGCCGGAAAATGGCGTTTCCACGCTGTGCATCGTGCCATACTGCATCGTGATTGCGCTCTGCAGCGTGAGCGTGCTGGTGACCGTGGCGATCGCTGTGGATCGGTTAACGTCGCTCGCACAGCCACTCAGGTACAAGAACATCATCACCCACAGCAGCATCGAAAAGTACATCGCTGCCTTCTGGATCTACGCCATCGCTGTCGGCCTCTCGCCTTTGATCTACGCCAAAGTCACGGGAGAGATGCAGCCGCACAGGTGAGGGATGCGTTTCTATTATCTTTTAGTTAGCTCTTCGTCGATCGTTTCGTAGGAAATTGGACGAGGGAAAGACGACGGGGGTTAAGGAAAATATCGCGAATCGTATTGAACGAGACGGTGAAAGCGTTCATTCTCTTAGGTCAGTCAAAATTATCGTTCTATGCTAGAGGTACCCTGTATCAGTGTCTATTTCGTTCGGGATAAAATTAAACAACAATTTCGGGATTTATATAAGCGTTACGTGATTGTCGAGCATCGTTGCATGACAAGTATAGCTTGCCATTGTGTGATTTGGCGTATAGCGCAAGGAGTTAATTTTATATCCCTTGCTATACTACGATATTGTCTTCAGAATTCTAAAGCTCGAGCGAACAGCAACGCAAATTGTACCAAACAATGGCGAACTTTGTATTAAATCTCGTGCTAGGAAGATATGAAATTTTCAACGAAAATAATATAAAACGTAGCAGAGATGGCGCAGAAGACGTTGAACAAATATTTCGAATTAAAATTGAGGAAAAGTTTATGAAGGATCATAAAAGATTTGCTCCTAAGTGTTTCAACTTCGAAACAAAAGCACAGTAGCTGCAAATTAGGGGTATTAAATTAAAAGGCGTCGTATGAATTTTTCTAATTGAACCCAGCAGTGGAAATCTATTGGACAAACATTTCGAAAATTGTTAAAATCAAATTGCCCGCCAGTCACGTTCCTCAAACGCGAACAAAACGAACGAACAGTGGGACAAAACTAGAAAATGAAATCACGTGTTCCTGCGTCTTTTTACGATTCGTGCCGGCAGTGAAAACATAACGTTGAAGCTAGTTTCTGCTTCTATAAACACAGCATGCTAATTTCTCCCTCTTTTCGCGTGTTTCGCCGAAACGCGAGGTTCGTTAGGAATGCGCGCGTGCTTTGACAGATTTCCATTCTGCCATGCTTCCGCGTGTCGCGTAAATTACGGTTGTGCGGTTCAACGAGATGTAAATCTACGGCAAAGCACTCGATGTACGAATTCTGTCCCGTAGTTGCATTTTTACGCGCGAGTTCGTTAGAATCGACAATTGTCTCCTGAATCGCAAGCACGTCATAACAGAATTACGATGGAAAAACAGGAAACTACGTCTCCGTGACTGGCAGTAAAAGTTACAGACTCTAACCCAGGGGTTGAAACGGGTTAAACGTTAATAACTGTTACGTACAGGTTCCTGCCAAAAGAGATATGATATTTTAAAGCCCCATTTATCCGATTTTTATGTAAATATATTTAGAAAATCGTAGCTGCGAATTAAAGGTAAAAATATGGACGTGATGGTAGAAAGTAGGTTAATTAGGGCTCATCGATTAAGAATAGCCACGGTATATATGTATAAAGAATTATTCGTACTGTAATTAATTATGGGACTTCAAAATCAGCGCATAAAAGTACGAAATTTAAACAACGAAGAGTTCTATTATAAACATCTATGATAAAATTTAATCAAAAATATAGAGTATTATTTCTTTTCTTAATAATTCGATGAAAATGATGACGATTTACACTTGCTTACACTTGCTTCGTCAATTATGAAGATAGCACATCATTTCAAAAGTCTCGTCTCTCAATCACAGACAACATACCGAGCCTTTAATTTTTGCGGGATCGGTGCTTCAGAACACGGAATACAAAGTCTATATATTCTATAGTCTGTAATGATAGGTCTACTTTACTCTTCGTATTCAAAATTAATCTAACAAACAAGCAGACAAGCATCGTCAGACACTCGTGCTATCAAAGAGAGTTAGTATCATGGCTCGACAAGCAGTTTTATAAACAGTTCTACAAAATCGATGAGGATATTGATTTAAGAACTGAAATAGAACCGGTATAAGAATATACTTCATAGAGCCGTAACAGTAACCATTACAAAACCGAAATAAAACGGATAAAGGAGGATAAAGGAGGTATATTTCAAAAGCTATTGAAACCTTAACCAAAATCGATATCATCGCTGATTTGCCGGAAGTAACAGTTCGTTGAAACGGTTTCAGAAAAACGGAATCGATACTACGACAGTTTGCAGCTCCTGATTTCGACATAAACTTTACATACTCGAATAACCAGTGCAAAGTAAAGCCGCTTTACGCTCGCCATGTGCTACGTCTGTACCCTTAAAACATCGTACAATAGGTACATCCAAAAGATTCACATCACCCTGTAAATATTTTTTAAACAACCCTAAGTAATCATAGAATACAAGAAGGAAAAGAAACATATTCCTTTATCAGCCATAAAATTAACAAAAATATGAAATAACTGTAATATCTCTGAACTCTTACACTACGAAACTTCGCAATGATTTTTCCAATCAGTAGAATCCGCTATCGACCCACGAGTGATTAAAACTTGGCAAGCAATTTAACTCGAAGACAATTACTCGATGTTAGTACTTCATAGATCATAAATCCAGACTGTAGCAACGTCCTCGAATTAACTTTGCACGTTATCAAAAATAATCAACGATCCATCGACAATTCAGGATTAAATCACGAAACTTAGCTTCCCGAGGAATATGAATTTTTACAAACGTTCCGCGAGATCTTACTCCCAAGTACCTGACACACGTGCAGCTGAAACGAAGAGACGCGTGCAGCATGGAAATCGAGTCACCCAGGCGATATTCGAATCGCCATGGTTACATAACGAAATCGATTAACTAACAAGTGAAACTAATTCGCTTTCTGTCACAGTGGCAACTGCAGGTTCGGGGCGGCGGTGCTCCCGCCGGTAAGGGTGTTCCTGGTGGTGGCAGTATGGGCACCCAGTGCTCTCGTGCTGCTCGCCTGCTACATGTACGTGTACCTGGTGGCACGTGCACACGCGCGTGCGATATACACGGTGGAACTGTCGTTCAGGCACCAGACGCAGACCCTGGCATTGCCGCGTTACGGTCAAACCCTGGCAGTCACGGTCGGCGCGTTTCTCATCCTCTGGCTTCCATTTCAAGTGAGTACACGGTCCCTTCAAGTGGGTGCACGAGCATGACCGACGAATAAATCGCCATTCGCGATCAAACCACACAGAACGCGCGTAAATTCTTGTACATAGATCGACGTCTCTTACGCCAAGCCGACGGACCTTAGGTCTCGTCTGACTATTACTACGCTCGCGCTACTCGCGCGTCGCAGATACGCCACGTCGATTCTACTTGGTCAGGAACACGCGCTCCTAACGATCTCTGGTAGAAATTCGAAGAGTAACGCGATATACGCACGCGTTAAAGCTGTGTGTGTGTGCACGTTTTCTCCGTTCGTCTTTATTCCACGTTTCCGGGTACGTTTAAAACCGGAAGAAGAGAGCTTGAAAGGAGGTAATTGAAAATTGCTCTGGTCTGTACGATATTCGTGGGGTTGCGTAACTTATGCTAGCCGTTTCTGCCTGCCTCCGTTCCCTTCTTATTAGTTACCGACTTTTAATTACTCGAGAAAAAGGCGGTAATTTCCAATTAAAACGGGTAATGAGTAGTATACTCGGAGTAAAGGTCGGCACGGTATCGCCTGCGAACCCATAGCCTGGAAAAATACGTACAGCATGGGCGATGTAAAAAATTTAATAAGCACTCTACAAAGTCGAATATGAAAGGCGAAAGTTTCGAAACGAGATCACCAGTTTTAAAACTAATATGGGAAGCTGCAAGTGACGCGAGCAACAACCCGGCGTATCGTGAATCTACGGTGTAATAGCTAGATTCTATCACGATCACGGTAAACGGAACAATAACGTTAGCGATGGAACAATTATCTCGGCATACTTGCGGCAATCCTTGCTGAACGCTGCAAGAATTACAGCTCGGATATGTCCTCGTGCATCGAATTTAGTACCTGCACGCCGTCCAATAGCTGCGAAACTAGTTTCAGATTCGCCTCTCGTTTTTTATATGTAAATCGAAACCTCGCGTTTGCAATTTTATCGAACGCGAAAACCAATATTCGTGCTGTAACCAGTTTGACCGAGGTTGGAACGAAAAAACAATTTTGGAACGAAAATTTTGCCTGTAACGTAATATTTTATACTGGAAATGGCGATTTAATTTCATTTAAAAGACCCCGCCGACCACTTTGTTTCTCTCGATATCGGGGTAAAAGAGGTATGAAAGAAATTTAGCTATTAAAAGACCCTTTCTCCCGAATCAAGCTCGTCGGTGAACGATTGATGTCGCGTGAATCGACGTGGTTAGGATTAAATCACGAAACTTAGCTTCCCGAGGAATATGAATTTTTACAAACGTTCCGCGAGATCTTACTCCCAAGTACCTGACACACGTGCAGCTGAAACGAAGAGACGCGTGCAGCATGGAAATCGAGTCACCCAGGCGATATTCGAATCGCCATGGTTACATAACGAAATCGATTAACTAACAAGTGAAACTAATTCGCTTTCTGTCACAGTGGCAACTGCAGGTTCGGGGCGGCGGTGCTCCCGCCGGTAAGGGTGTTCCTGGTGGTGGCAGTATGGGCACCCAGTGCTCTCGTGCTGCTCGCCTGCTACATGTACGTGTACCTGGTGGCACGTGCACACGCGCGTGCGATATACACGGTGGAACTGTCGTTCAGGCACCAGACGCAGACCCTGGCATTGCCGCGTTACGGTCAAACCCTGGCAGTCACGGTCGGCGCGTTTCTCATCCTCTGGCTTCCATTTCAAGTGAGTACACGGTCCCTTCAAGTGGGTGCACGAGCATGACCGACGAATAAATCGCCATTCGCGATCAAACCACACAGAACGCGCGTAAATTCTTGTACATAGATCGACGTCTCTTACGCCAAGCCGACGGACCTTAGGTCTCGTCTGACTATTACTACGCTCGCGCTACTCGCGCGTCGCAGATACGCCACGTCGATTCTACTTGGTCAGGAACACGCGCTCCTAACGATCTCTGGTAGAAATTCGAAGAGTAACGCGATATACGCACGCGTTAAAGCTGTGTGTGTGTGCACGTTTTCTCCGTTCGTCTTTATTCCACGTTTCCGGGTACGTTTAAAACCGGAAGAAGAGAGCTTGAAAGGAGGTAATTGAAAATTGCTCTGGTCTGTACGATATTCGTGGGGTTGCGTAACTTATGCTAGCCGTTTCTGCCTGCCTCCGTTCCCTTCTTATTAGTTACCGACTTTTAATTACTCGAGAAAAAGGCGGTAATTTCCAATTAAAACGGGTAATGAGTAGTATACTCGGAGTAAAGGTCGGCACGGTATCGCCTGCGAACCCATAGCCTGGAAAAATACGTACAGCATGGGCGATGTAAAAAATTTAATAAGCACTCTACAAAGTCGAATATGAAAGGCGAAAGTTTCGAAACGAGATCACCAGTTTTAAAACTAATATGGGAAGCTGCAAGTGACGCGAGCAACAACCCGGCGTATCGTGAATCTACGGTGTAATAGCTAGATTCTATCACGATCACGGTAAACGGAACAATAACGTTAGCGATGGAACAATTATCTCGGCATACTTGCGGCAATCCTTGCTGAACGCTGCAAGAATTACAGCTCGGATATGTCCTCGTGCATCGAATTTAGTACCTGCACGCCGTCCAATAGCTGCGAAACTAGTTTCAGATTCGCCTCTCGTTTTTTATATGTAAATCGAAACCTCGCGTTTGCAATTTTATCGAACGCGAAAACCAATATTCGTGCTGTAACCAGTTTGACCGAGGTTGGAACGAAAAAACAATTTTGGAACGAAAATTTTGCCTGTAACGTAATATTTTATACTGGAAATGGCGATTTAATTTCATTTAAAAGACCCCGCCGACCACTTTGTTTCTCTCGATATCGGGGTAAAAGAGGTATGAAAGAAATTTAGCTATTAAAAGACCCTTTCTCCCGAATCAAGCTCGTCGGTGAACGATTGATGTCGCGTGAATCGACGTGGTAATGAGCTTTCCGTGACCCGTCAATCTCCATTCCCACGAACAGAAGTTTCACGGAGAGGAAGGGTGAAAAACGACGTAACTTTGGAAATTGTGGCAGCGAAGAAGTTGCGGAAACTGGTGTCCTCTAATCACGAGGAAAAAGACGTTGAGCTCGAGGAAAACTCCTGGCAAAGTGTCCCAAGTTTTTCTCTTTTCCTGCGGTAAAAAAAGCGCTCCGGCAGGACGACAATTAGAAACAATTTCATTGTATGGCAAACCGAGCGAACGCGAGTAACGCGATTCCACCGAGTATTTTTGACCCTGTGAAAATCCATCGCGACGAATTTGTGGAATAAATTCCGTCCGAAAAAATCCCATCAAATTTTGTCGTGCCGTGATATTCGACTCGTTGCTACAATGAAAGGTAGCAATTTAGTTACGAATTGTTACGGATTTTATAAAAGAACTAATAATTATCTTTGCTCGCAAAGCACTCGTAAATTGATAAGAATCTTTGTCGATGGAAATTTGCATGTACTGAATTCCAGCATCGAAATAATTCACAGATAATAATTAATGCAGAAATGCAAATGCAGAAATGAATTGATAATTCTTTCAACCGATGTCGTTCGTAGAACTCGCAATAAGAATTTATAAGGATTTACAGGTGAACGCGACTCTTCTAGCGAAAGAGGACAAATGTTCACGTCCGGTACATATGCATACGAGATGAAATACGAATAATACCGATTGTTTGCCTATCCTATGCATGGATGAAATTCAGCGAAACTCGAATACACATAGATCTCAGTTTCGTGGACACCTCACCGAGTTTCGTTAATGGAGGTCAAGACAAATAGTCGCTATTTTAGTCTACGCGTTACAGAGACACATGCATAACGACGTAGCTGGAGCATATTGTTCACGCTGTGAATACATTAATGTCACCCACGCGGATGAACTAAATGAATGAAATATATACATCTACGAAGATAGAGACGAAATTATCTAGACTTTCATTAATGCATCCTGATCTTGCATCTCTCCTCTCCGCAAATTCAACCTTCTCGTTCGTTTCGCGTTAAACATAGGCTAAAACTCGCTTTTGTTCCCATGAACTCTGTCGTAGCTCTGTAATAAAGCAGATCCTTCGAAACTATTTCCATTCTCTTGCGCGGAAAGTTTCGAACGTATCTTTTTAAGTATCGAGAGTATCTTCCTAACCCAGTATCTCCTAACACAAGGTTACTTTGTTCCACAGACCTGCATGCTGCTGGATATCTTCTGTGGCACCAACATCCTCACCGAATGGGCCGTCGTGTGGCTCGGTCTGCCCATCATGGCGCACAGCGGCGTGAACCCGTGGATTTACGCTTTCCATCATGGCGAAATGAGGGTTGCAGCGGTTAAGATCACCGAAGAGTTGGTCGCGCTGTTCGGTGTGACACCTAGCCGTTACGGTTGCTCGCCAATGAGACGCGGTTCCAATACGAATATGGAACTGGCCGAGGTGAACAACAGCAACGACGGCAGAAGACATCCCGTCGAGGATTGTTTCGCGGTGAAGCAAAACAACGCTCTTTACACCAGCAGACGATGTCTGGACATGTCAAGCAAGCACGCAGACATCTCTCCGGAGAGGAATATCGATCACACGTCTTCTGAGAGCAGGCAAGAGGACATCGTCGAGGAGAACATCCACGATCTCACGAAGATGCTCGATCTGAAGTACATTATCGATCGGAATCACATGATCGACTCGAATCACAACATCGACAAGATTAAGAACCTGAAGTACCTGCTGGATCCAACGTTCAACAAGATCAGACACCTGAGGAAATTAAATCACAAGAGGCTGACGAGCAAGAATTTCGCGAAGGCATCGGAGCCGAAATTCATCTCTTATCAGAATTTAAAGAGCGAAGGCACGATGCAAAGCGTTGCAAATCGCAAAGTGTTGCAAATGAACACCATGTCGGATCCTGTGCTCAGCGCCGACAGCCCAATGGTGCACACGAAGGACTTCAACGACGGTCTGAGTCCTATCAACGGTAAAAGAAGAAACTCGAACCTCTGTTCTATGTCGGATCCCAATATTAAAGCGGCAACCGGTCACTCTTCCGAGGTAAATCTTCGACTTCCTACCTGTGAACCCGGCATCGAGACTCACAGATACTCCGTACAAAATTTAGACCACAATAGATACGACGGAGGATTAGCCAAACATATTATGCTAAGTCGACAGCTAGAGAATCAAAAACGGTTTCAAATTTTCCCGCGTCCGAGGATGAAGATCAACAATAGTAATTTCGATCGGAACAGTCCAAATCTGAACCTGAGGCTTCAAAATAGTTACACGTCGCCATCCACGCCGGATAGTACGAGGTCGAGCTTATTAGGCAGTCCAAGGCAAAAGACGTCCCCGAAACACATGACGATCACTCCCAACAGACTGGCTAACCTCGTTCATCCGGATAATACGACTTCGAGAAACTTGGAGCTCAGAGCAGATCCAACTTCTAGGCTGTTACAAGTCCGTCGAAATATGGAGATACTGAAACATTCCGAATCGATCAATACCATCGAACCGATGACGCATATGAGATTGTTGGAGCCTTACAGAGTCATGGAGACTCTAGCAGTGCCGACAATACACTCGGAACCACCGAGTCCCATAGATCCTCTCCCCCTCGCCTCTCTGCAAGAGGAGGACGCGAAGAATTCCGAGACGCCGAAGCCTTCCGTTAGTATCGACTGCTTGAAATCCCCCATGGGCAATAGGAGAAGTCCAGTGAGACACTCAGACCCTGTGATACCATCCGTCTTGTTGAATATCGAAGATTACAGCGAAGACCAAAAATCGATCAATGACAAATCTAGTCACGATAGTTCCTCGAATAACCTAGCATCGTCGGGACAAATGGCGTCGATAGAACCCATAGATCTGTTCGAAGCCCTGTTGAAAAATTCGGAAAGGTATCGAGAAGGTAGATTACCGGAGCCGATCTTCGCCGAACATGACTCGACGAGGTTCAGCTCGAGAAGACCTTCGGACTCTAAGTGGTCGGAGTCGTCGAGGAGTCAGGAAATCCTATCGAACGTGATCACCGAACATCAGACGTTCCCTTCGTCCTATTCCGTGAACAACTTCCAAGTCTGCAACAGCGGCAGCGATCTCAACGACCTGACGTCCCTTGACCCTTTCATGTGCCCAGACGCGTTGACATCGTCATTGCGCGAGTCCTTTTTCAGCGCCCCATCCGTACCTGATTCAGAGATCTTCACGTCGTTCGAGGAAAACGATGAATCCAATTTCACACCCGACTCCGAACGCGACTTGTCCCCCTATAATTCTGGCTCGACGATCAATCTGAAGAGATCAACGTTCGACGTCGACGCGCAGAGCAAGTCCACGGAGTCCGTGTTTCGAAATAGATGCCTGTCAACGAGGTCATGCACGATCTTGCGTTTAGAGCCTTCCTTACATCGAAATAGATTACGTGTCAAGCCAGGAGCAGACTATATCCTGAAGGATATGTCTTTGAAGACTTCACACTTGGCACCGCTCGCCACACCAACTCCCACGGACATCTGCACTCCTACCTTCGAACTCGTTTCGGAACTAAAGGGTGACAACGGTGTCGGTGTCAGAGTATAGATCGATCGCGCAAATTTCGAAGCAGTTTGGTGAAAAGAGAACGATCATTCCGTTCGTTTGGACGTATACGATGAACGAAATTGGAACCCTTATACGAAATTCTCCTTCGGATCGCGACGTTCCGTTCGTCGAACAGGGATTTTTACCATGTACCATGTTGTATAATGATACGATTGCGCGGCTGTATTTTTATAATCGCTCGATACCTGCTGGAGAAATTATTCTGTCTATCTTGTTTTAGAGGGACGTACTGAAACGTAGGTTATCGTGAAACAATGGAATCGAACTTTCAAGTTGGACTGTGATAGTACGACGTGTCTTTAGCCGGATCATAGGACGATCACGTGAGAGAGCAAATTCTATAATTGTTTGGCGATGATTAATTCTTCGACTCCTGGGAACAGTGTCAACGATCGTTTAAACAAAGCGCTTGTTCGGAGAACAAAATGTTATCGTTTTTGCCGAAGAATTTAGAAGTTGCTTTGACGAATTTAGCCCGTAAAGATAGTAGGATAATTTCGTTTTAAAGTCACACTATGGAGTCCCAGGATTAAAATCGTAGTATAAATTTGTAATATATTATACGAACTATATTAACATACTTGATATAAATAAAAAGTTCAAAGCGTAAAGTGTCAAGAGCGCGTAACGATGGCGAATAATATGTAATTAATTCAATTAAGCATCTGCTGATAGAGCAAGGTCGCTATTGGGGAAAGCAACGACGGCTCGATTTGTACTTATAGATATTCTTTGAAACGTACGTTGTATCGATATTTATCAGATTTTGCCTCGCTGAACGCGGTTGACTTGGCTGATACTTAAACATATTTCAGCGTTTTGTAAACGTTACCGAACACTGTGCCAAGCGGATTACGCAAGATTTTCAAACCTTTCCTTTTTCTCGAAACAAGTAAACGAAGATAGTAAACTACGAACTATACTACCGTTTGTGTACCTGATTAAAGTTGATAACTTGCAGGCGAACAAAGGTTTTGCAGATAATTGCAATCTCAGAGGTGATTCTAAGAGAGTAGGAAAACATTGATAAATAGTATTTGTTCTCACACAGCCAACGAAATCTGCCCCTCGTATCGTTTAAGTTCTACTTTATACTTCCATTTATTTTTTGACTAGTCACGATCGATCACCTAATCATATCCGATTCTAATTAATTTAACGCACACGACCTAATAGTTCGGGATGATGAATCGTCGTTATTTATTATAGGGGAATTAAAAGCAACTTCGTTCCGATTCTTGGTCAAACTTCTAAGCACTCTGTTTATCGGCATTTTAGAGGCAAGTACACGATAATGTAATCCTCTGCAACAATGCTCAGAGAATGTAGATATTTTAGAGTAAAAGATCACGAGAAAGAATCGTTGTATCACGCGTGAAACGATGAAACAAGAAACGAGAATCATTTTAGATCGGATACGAGATGTAATTTATTTAAGAAGAAATTGTACAGTAGAAGGAACGTAAGGACCAAAAATTTTCAATATACGATCTCCGATATGGGTGTCGTCAGTCCTCGACTTATAGTAGCACTTAATTATACGATAGTACATTTTCAACGTAATCGATTTTGTTCTTTTGTAATATCCCATGGTAATCATAATCCGATCATCCGACACTTAAATTGATCTATGAATATCTTTATCGAAATCTCTAATTTTTATATCACGTCGCTATAAAAGCCGCTTCACTAGTCGGTATTCCTGAAAGAAAATCAATCTCGGGACTCAGATTGTGCCCTCAACCATTCACAATGCCAATTAAATATTAATACTACTTTTATACACGTATAAGTTCACGAAAAATTCACCGTGAGACAAAGTTATTTTTGTCATACATCTACGATATTTTTTAAAACAGATTCTCCCTTAACTCACTTGTGTGTATGTGCGTGTGTCATACTATCGATCGTACAGAAATCGTCCTACCTATTTTTCAGTTCAGTGAATGATACAGATGTGTGTAATAATAGAAATATTTCGTAAACGCAACGTGATTCGATGGTATGAAATTCAACTTCACGAGTACATGATACCCTGGTAAACTTGAAAGAAACTGCAGAAAGAAGTGAATTTTGAAAATTATGTATTTGGATAAATGTTCATCGTCTTCTGGAAGGTAGCTTTCAATTACTCAAAACAATTAAAGAATTATCTTTGCAAACCGATTTTATTGTTCAAGACTCATTAAAATGGAGAAGTTCTATGGCGTATACATTAGGCATTCGATGACGAATACGGTTATACAAAATATTCGATAGTTTACTTACTTAAAACATTTCATTCATCGTCGTAAATTATACAAGCATACGATGCTCTAATTGTTTTGGGTAGCATATTTGCAAAATAGATAAGAAATAACTAATAATTCTATGAAGAAGACAATTTTATGATTCATAAATTTCTCGTTTTTTATTTTCACGGTTTCTATTTGCATCCTACGCTTATCTATACATTTTTAGATATCCCTGTATGAATTAGTTGATTACATTCGCTAAACTCGATATTGTGTTATATAAAAAGTTCCCGTACATAATTTACTACTCGTTTCAAGGACGTTTAAATTTTCTTATTATTACTAGTACAATTTGAAAAAATCCCTAGATATAACGTGAACATTTTGCTGTGTTGACGACTGCAAACAATATACAATCAATTTCTGAATTATATTTACGATAATTAAAACAGATTTCATAGTTTTAATCCCTTATAAACGATTCGTTCTACAAAGTGTCTTCCAATTGTGTAAATCATGGAGGAACAGACGAATAAAAATCTTAGTTCGTTCTTGCGTAGTCGAGTTTAAGTTATGAATTAACAGCGCTCTATAGTACTTAAATTGGAGGTTCTGTACAAATAAAGGAACATTTATCGAAGTGAGAGGCACTGATATATTTTTATGAAGTAATATTTTATCGTTCTTTGTAAATATCGAAATATCCAAATAAAAACAAGATCACAACCTACAAACTTAAGTGAAACTATACTATTTAAACGAGATTAATATACATTGCTTGTATTATTTGTTGAGAACACAGTTGTACCGATAATATCCAATTTATTCACCAATGCCTATATCTGATATATAACAAAGTCGTCAAATTATCATTTACATCTACAGACCTTGAAACAGATTGATTTCTCAATAATTTTAACAAAGAAAAATCATAAACTAATAGTTTTAAATCGCTTGAAATTTATTACGTGTATTATACCTTTCTTTTTATAGTATCATTTGTAATATGACATAATGACATGAAATTATATATGATAAATATAAACTCACATGTTTTTGTATATATAAAAAGAATATAATATATTGACTAGACAAAACTCATTTGAAGTAGTAATTTAACCTACAATTTAATCGTCTATTGATGCAATTACAAAAATAATAATTTTATGTAGGTAAAGAGTTATAAATGATAAAGAGTTCCGATAAAAGTCTCCAATAATGATTTAACATGAGAGATAATGTTTATCTGAATTTATCACCGTAAAATGACGTATTTCAAATAGTTTAAAATATAATATCAAACTTACTATTCTAATAAATAAATTGACAAATAATTCAAACATCGCTAAAACGATTACAGTTAACGCGTAAGTTTATTCTAATAAAAATTAATAAATATAACACTCGTAATTATCGTAGAGTATTTATGAAAGAAGAACAGTTGACGAAATTTCTTACCTTATACGTGCAAATACATGCGCAGAAAATGTACCGCGTGAAGACTAACATAACCTCATTGGTTTGTAACCAAACTTACGTAACATATGACACATTTTCCCGAAAGAAATCTTTGCTTGATCGTATTTAAAAATCAGAAAGAAGATAAAGGTTAAACAATATGGCAGAAAAAATAGAAATTGATACGTCAATATTAAATGGAAGAACAGAGGAAGAAGATATTGTAACACCTTGGAATGTTGCAACTAGAAACGAAACTGGAATTGACTATGATAAACTAATTAGTGAGTTCCATAAAGAGAAACTGTTAAAAAGTATTTCTGTCATATACAATAAAATTACTGCTTTTTTATTATTTTTATTTCATAGGTTATAAATGCTTCATATTTTTTGAAAGAAGACAAAGCAAATTTTGCTAAATAGCACTCATATTTGAATATATTTACTAGTTTATAAATCACTTTTTTTTTTTAGAAGATTTCTCTTTGTTATTATAGAAAGATTTGGAAGTTCGAAAATTGATGAAGAACTATTGGCCAGATTTGAGAAAATCACAGGACAAGAACCACATCATTTTCTTAGAAGAGGAATATTTTTCTCTCATCGAGATATGAATATTATTTTAAATCTTTATGAACAAGGAAAACCTTTTTACCTTTATACTGGTAGAGGACCTAGTTCAGATTCTATGCATTTGGGACATCTCATACCATTTATGTTTTGCAAATGGTTACAAGATGTATTTCATGTTCCATTAGTTATACAACTAACTGATGATGAAAAAGCAATATGGAAAAATATAAAAATAGAAGATGCAATTAAATTGGCTTATAATAATGCAAAAGATATTATTGCTCTTGGATTTAAATCAGAGAATACGTTTATCTTTTCTAATTTAGAGCATATTGGAAATAACCCAGCATTTTATCAAAATATGATCAGAGTACAAAGGAGTGTTACATTTAATCAAGTGAAGGGTATTTTCGGATTTGGAGATAGTGATCCTATTGGAAAAATTTCATTTCCACCTACTCAAGCTGTTCCAGCAATTTCTGGAACTTTTCCTTTTATCTTTAAGGGTGCGAAAGTTCATTGTTTAATACCCTGTGCTATAGATCAAGATCCATATTTTAGAATGACAAGAGATGTCACGCCAAAAATTGGCTATCCAAAACCAGCTCTATTACATTCTATATTTTTTCCTGCTTTACAAGGCTCCAAAACAAAAATGTCTGCTAGTGATAATAACACTGCAATATTTTTAACGGACACTGCTAAACAAATAAAAAACAAAATTAACAAACATGCATTCTCAGGAGGACAAGCCACTATTGAAGAACATAGACGATTAGGAGGCAATTGTGATATTGATATAGCATATCAGTAACCTCATTGGTTTGTAACCAAACTTACGTAACATATGACACATTTTCCCGAAAGAAATCTTTGCTTGATCGTATTTAAAAATCAGAAAGAAGATAAAGGTTAAACAATATGGCAGAAAAAATAGAAATTGATACGTCAATATTAAATGGAAGAACAGAGGAAGAAGATATTGTAACACCTTGGAATGTTGCAACTAGAAACGAAACTGGAATTGACTATGATAAACTAATTAGTGAGTTCCATAAAGAGAAACTGTTAAAAAGTATTTCTGTCATATACAATAAAATTACTGCTTTTTTATTATTTTTATTTCATAGGTTATAAATGCTTCATATTTTTTGAAAGAAGACAAAGCAAATTTTGCTAAATAGCACTCATATTTGAATATATTTACTAGTTTATAAATCACTTTTTTTTTTTAGAAGATTTCTCTTTGTTATTATAGAAAGATTTGGAAGTTCGAAAATTGATGAAGAACTATTGGCCAGATTTGAGAAAATCACAGGACAAGAACCACATCATTTTCTTAGAAGAGGAATATTTTTCTCTCATCGAGATATGAATATTATTTTAAATCTTTATGAACAAGGAAAACCTTTTTACCTTTATACTGGTAGAGGACCTAGTTCAGATTCTATGCATTTGGGACATCTCATACCATTTATGTTTTGCAAATGGTTACAAGATGTATTTCATGTTCCATTAGTTATACAACTAACTGATGATGAAAAAGCAATATGGAAAAATATAAAAATAGAAGATGCAATTAAATTGGCTTATAATAATGCAAAAGATATTATTGCTCTTGGATTTAAATCAGAGAATACGTTTATCTTTTCTAATTTAGAGCATATTGGAAATAACCCAGCATTTTATCAAAATATGATCAGAGTACAAAGGAGTGTTACATTTAATCAAGTGAAGGGTATTTTCGGATTTGGAGATAGTGATCCTATTGGAAAAATTTCATTTCCACCTACTCAAGCTGTTCCAGCAATTTCTGGAACTTTTCCTTTTATCTTTAAGGGTGCGAAAGTTCATTGTTTAATACCCTGTGCTATAGATCAAGATCCATATTTTAGAATGACAAGAGATGTCACGCCAAAAATTGGCTATCCAAAACCAGCTCTATTACATTCTATATTTTTTCCTGCTTTACAAGGCTCCAAAACAAAAATGTCTGCTAGTGATAATAACACTGCAATATTTTTAACGGACACTGCTAAACAAATAAAAAACAAAATTAACAAACATGCATTCTCAGGAGGACAAGCCACTATTGAAGAACATAGACGATTAGGAGGCAATTGTGATATTGATATAGCATATCAGTGGTTGCGATTTTTTTTAGAAGATGATGAAAAATTAGAACAACTTAGAAAAGCAAGTTTAATAAAAATGAAAATTTATCTTTTAATATAGATAAATAAATATATATAATAATCATGTGTAAATTTTCAGGGTTATACTAGTGGAGAAATTTTAACAGGGGAACTTAAAAAAGAATTAATTGATGTGCTACAGCCTTTGGTAGCTGCACATCAAGAAGCTAGGAATAAATTAACAGATGAAATAGTTAAACAATATATGATTCCCAGGGATCTCGGTTTTGTGACAAATATAAAATAGTTATACATGCTCTGATTATTATGTATATACAACATATGAGAACTCCATTATCATGAGTTTATTTAATTTTATTTATTTTAGAAATGCAAATAGTTCTTTTTTCAAAAAGATTATTTTTTAAGTTGTGATGGTGATAAATTAAATTGCTTTTATAAAAATACGTATTTTATATTTCCATTTACAATCATTATTTATAATTTTTAAATAATTAATATTTGTACGTCAATTATATATTAAGTATGCATTAAAAAAAAAATATGAAAAATAAATTCAATTACATATATAGCATGTACTTAAATATATACTACATATTAACAGTTTAGATGCCTACATTTGCCAAGATAATAGTTCGTATTTGCTACTATTTTTAAGTTATTAAATATGTGCATGTTTAATATAGTGCTTATAATGATCTTGTAAAACACGTCAGAAGAAAAAGATTTATTTTAAGTTATAAAAAATGCATATTATCCAGTAATATGTCTTTTTTTGTTTCACACGTAATATGATAACAGATTAAAATGCTGCTGTTGCCCGCCATTTTTATTAGTGAAATATAAAATTTCACATATATATATATTTATAATATTTTATGAACACAATATCTAATATATCGTTTATAAATAAAAATACATATGATTATAGAATAAAAGAATTAAATAAATTCAAATAAATGATTAATGTGAAAACAATGATTACATAAAAACAATTATCAAAACACAGTTATTTGCGGGAAAACAATCATTTTTAAAACTCACCTATAGTAAAATTCATTGTATGCATTAATAAAATAATCAATATGATTTTGAAATAACTTTTTATTCATCAAATGTTCAACATTATAATGAAATAAAAAAGAAATTGTTAAAATGTACGTATTTCAAAAAATAAGCATATATACTTACGATATTTCGAAATTTAAACGAGCTGCGTTTACTGACTATAGCAATATTGATAAACGCAGTAATCAGTCACAGTACAATTTATCATCGACAAAAACTTCATGTTTTTGTTTATATGCTTGTTAGTGAGAGTTAATGCCAGTATCGCGCGCGAGTTAATTTTACTTCGGGATCCTGTATGATTGCCCAGGCTTGAGCGGAAATCGTGGGTTTTTGATTGGCGGATTATGACGCCACGAAGCATGCTATTAATAACCGACGCATGCGCAGAAAATTACCTAGTGTATATCCGTCATTCATGCAAGTCGATTTCGTTGGGTCTGTGTGTTGAGCCTAGCAAAAGAACATGGTGATAGTGATATGAAACAAGTCTATTAGCAATACCACGCTCTACACATATATACTTTCGCGAAGTAACGATGATATTTGGTCACAATCTCCCTACGTAAGTTTCGCGAACATGCAGACTGAGGTATAAACTATTTTAGTTGCAAAATTTGGCACTGCCAAATAGTTTCCCATTAGAATCTGATACAGCTTACGCTCGTAAGATTTTCCATTCCTATATTCAATTAATTTACAGCATTGACGGAGTTATTCTAATAATTATATAGTGAACGTAATTTCATGTAATTCGAATGTTTCCATTTACGTAAACGTTACCGTGTTTCGTTTGAGATATTTGTTTGTTCAGATTATCTTGTACGTTACGTTCGGTATTAGGAAAATGTGTTTTAATTATCGTTTTTCCTGGTTTAAATTAAAATTATAACTGTAACCCAAAATAATTTTGTAACAAAGTGGAGTTACAAAATGATAATCGAAAAGAAACTTTTAAGTAATACTATAGAACATGCACACAAATACATACATAAGTTAAACGTGATATTGTTATTTTGCTTTTCATTTAAATTTGAATGTAGAAACTATTTTTATTATTATATCCAATCTTAGTCTTGTATTAAGAAATGAAGATTTTTTTACCTTTTCTATTCTTGTAATTTTAGGTAAAACTCAAAAAAGTGTCATTTGAATGATCAGTTAAAAGATGCTGATCAAATAATATCTAAAAAAAGAAAACAAATTAATCAAGCTGACACAGCAAATACTAAATAAATACTATGGGGGCACTTTTGGACACTCCAAAAACAGATAAATATAATGAACATGGTGCTGGCAATGGACTACATTATGGTGTTGCCAGCATGCAAGGTTGGAGGATGGAAATGGAAGATGCTCATAGAGCAATAACAGGTTTAAAAGGTGGTCTCTCAGATTGGAGTTACTTTGCAGTATTTGATGGTCATGCTGGACCATTAGTATCAGCTCATAGTGCAGAACACTTGTTAGAATGTATAATGCAAACAGAGGAGTTTAAAGCAGAAGATGTTACCAAAGGAATTCATTCTGGCTTTCTTCGACTTGACGATGAAATGAGAGAATTACCAGAAATGAGTTCTGGTACAGAAAGATCTGGTTCTACAGCTGTTTGTGCATTTATATCCCCCAGAAATATATATATTGCTAACTGTGGTGATTCTCGAGCTGTACTTTGTCGAGCAGGAGATCCAGTTTTTTCAACTCGAGATCACAAACCTGTTTTACCTGCTGAAAAAGAAAGAATTCAAAATGCTGGTGGTAGTGTAATGATACAAAGAGTTAATGGAGCTTTAGCTGTGTCTCGTGCATTGGGAGATTATGAGTACAAAAATTTGAAAGATCGAGGCCCTTGTGAACAGTTAGTGTCTCCAGAACCAGAAATATTTGTTCGAGATAGAGACGATGAACACGATGAATTTCTAGTTTTAGCATGTGATGGTATTTGGGATGTAATGAACAACGAAGATCTATGTAATTTTATACATTCAAGGCTGCTGCTTACAGATGACCTAGAAGCAGTTACGAACCAGGTTATAGACACCTGTCTGTATAAGGTAATGATGTCTAAAGCTTTTTATATATATTTTATAATGAACTACTTGCCACTAAAGGTGTGTCGGTATATTTTTGATATTTTAAATACTTCAGTGTTAGAAATATTGATAAGTTTTTATAGTCTATCATTTGTCTCAAAACTTAATCTATAATTTATTTTTAATATTCAATGATATTAAATATTAATTAAAGAAATGACTTTAAATAAATGGCTGTTAATGTAATTAAATCAACATGTTCGATAATTCATTCTAATAAAAATTTTCAGCTACTATTACCATAGTAATATATATCATTAAATTTTAAGCTTTAGATAACATCCTATTTTTATTTCTTGTGTTACTAATTTTGTTTGTGTTTCTTTTATGTACTTGTTAAATAGGTACAAAAATATATATATGATTACTAATATATTTTTATATATTAAACATTTTATACATTATTTTGTTAATACTACTCATATGCTTGATTGAAATTAAAGTTATACAAAATACTCAGTATATTAAATAAAGTTTTAGTTTTTATTAAAATGCAAATGACATATGCTTTTAAATTTATTTTTTACAAATACTTTCTTTGTTGCAGGGCAGCAGAGATAACATGAGTATAGTTTTGGTCACATTTCCTGCTGCTCCAAAACCAAATCCAGAAGCACAGAAAAAAGAAGCTGAGCTGGAAATGGCAATTGAAAGGAGAATCAAAGGTTCATTAACATTTCCATATTCACATCAATTATATTCTCTCTGCTGTTGCATTAATTCAAAATCACAATATCACACACATACTTGACGTTCTAGTAGCTCTCAAATGGAGAGCAATACATAATATCATTATCTAATAATGAAATTTTAGTACAATTCAAAATACAATCATTATAGAGATATAACATTTATAAGTACAAAAATCAAATTCGTATTTCCTCCAAGATTAATACTCAAATCTTAATTTTCAATTTCCTTTAAAGATATATAAGTATCTTATTTCATATATATAGAACATATTGACATAAAATGACGTTAGTTATTAATGTACAAGCAATTATTTCTATAAATGTCAATGTCTGAATATGAAGATATACTGTCAGAGTTCTTATTTGACAAATTATTATTTCCTATAATATATGAAAATATTTTTAATGCATAGATTATGAATTATATACTATTTATTGACAAAAATATTTTTCTAGTAAATGTCACATATTTTCTCTTATATCTCTCTAATTTTTTTGAGAGGTATGCGCATATGTGTGTGTATATATGTATATAGATATTGTGTGTGTGCGTGTGTCTTTGTGTGTGTGTGTGTATATATATATATGTGTGTGTGTATATATACATATATATGTATAAATATGCACACATTTATATATTTATATACATACATGTTTCCATTAAGAAATATTAAAAATTTATTCTTATCCAATGGATGTATTTTCTTACTACATGACTTATGTCTTTAAATAATTAAGTACAATACTATTGTTTACAAATTTAATATATATATAGTTACTGAATATAATTCAACAGGCAAAGTTATTTAAAAAATCTACTATAGATAATTATATAAATTGTGTGCAATACCACTAAAGTAATGAACAAATTATTTAATCATTGACATTCTATGATTAATCATATTTGTGCAATATAAAAAAACTCTTTCAAGGAGAGAATTAATATCATCCAAGTAAAAGATTGAAGTTTACTTTTACAAAAGTTTGTTTCAATTTTCTTCATTTTCAGCATTCATACATCATTTAAATGTATAGATGTAGTCAAAACTTACATGTTTCACAAATACTTTCCACCTAATATTAATTCTAATTTTCTTAATATTCAGTTGTTAACTTGTGCAATTGTATTTCATTGTATTTTTGTCAATTTTGAAATATTTTTTATAACATATGATAAATATCAGTTATTTGTTAAAACTATAAAAATTTGTGTAGAATAGATTAGTGGAATGTTTTTTGTGAATTCAAATTATTTAAAAGATTTGTAAGACCAAAAAACATTAATATAACTTCTGTTTCAGTGTTTATTAAAATATTGTTATAGCACATAGTATGTACATTTTTTAAACATGTTATTAATATTGTGCTATCAGTATAAAATTTATTACAGTATTATACTAGAGTATTAATGATTGCGTTTCTTACTTAATCTGTTAAACAGATAGTAAGAGCATAAGTATATTGGTAGTTATTTATATATAATGTTAGTCTTCTCTACTGTCAAATTGTATTAATTGTTTCTCCTTTAATTAAACTCTTTTAACACCAATCATTATTTTTACTTAAAAATGCATTCCACCCTTGGAGTTGGTATTCTTTTAAACTCTTTTGTAAGTAATATTTTTATTCAAAAGTTGTTTGTTCCTCTTTTCAAACATATTTAAGTGGTATCACAGGTAGGTGAACATTTTCTTATGAAAGTTTAGAAATATTTTACCTACTGTATTTTTATTTCTTTAATAATGCATTTCTTATGGAGGAACATTGCAACAAACATATATATCTCTATGTGTATATATATATGTGTGTATGTTACATAAGATTATACAATTCCAATGGTGGATGAATTTAAAAAGGTAGTTAAAAACATATTTATCTATACATAAACTTAGATACCATTGTATCTACTTAAGACCGGACTCTGTTTCCAGGATTTCCATAAGAAATGTAACAAAGCACTAACTTTTCCAGTCCTAAGTAGATGCATGTATTTGTAGTCATTTTATTATGTGTTTATTTTTTATTTTAATAATAATTTATTATAAGATGTTAAAGATATAAATAATTGAAATTTTTAAGAACATGTATCAAATACTACAAAATGCATTTGTTTTATTAAATGATATTGATCAAATGATTTCTGCACAAATATGATAGTACATGCACAATGTATTCTAATAATGGTAGATAATATTTATGAAACAAATAATATGTAATTTATAAATAATCTTAATGAATTGAAAAATTATAATTTTTATTGTATTTATAGAAATAGTTGCTGAGCAAAAGAACGAAAATGAATTTGATTTTCTGAATCTGCTACAACGTCTTATGGACCAAGAATTTCCCAATCTTCCTCCTGGTGGTGGACTCTCAGCTAAGTATGTATATTTGTAAATTCTTATATTTTTATTTCAACATAATAAAATTACGTTGGGGTTAGTGTTTCTAAGATCAAAAAAGAGAAAAAAATATTTGGCCTAGTTTCAAAAATTAAATTTCTCTTCTAATATTTATTATACTAATGTTTAATATTAATTATATAATTGAATGGAATTATTTATAAAGTGGATGCAGGATACATTTTTACTAAAATATTAGTATATATTAATTCAAACTGTAACTGAAATAAAAATTTCTTTCTTTTTAGACAACCTTTCATTGAACAAGTGTTTCGAGAAGTATGTCCCAGCCTAGCGGATAGTGTAAGTCTTGGATATGATTTCTGTTCGATATAACTAACCTTTGACTTTTTTGTATACTGCATCAAATGTACAACTGTAATCATTAGACATGTTCCATAATCATATAACGATGCAGATGCTATCGGAAATACCTTTATTTTACTGATCTCTTCTAATGTAAAAAGAGATTCATTTTTAACTTGCAAAAGAAGTACACTGGTATATTATAAAGTAAATCTTACCTAAACTAAATCTGCCACAAAACATGTGCAGATCTTACATTCTTGCAGTGCGTTATTGTTGGTAAAAATAAATTAGAGTTTAAAACTACATTAAAAAATCCTGAACTATTATACATTCACCCATTCAAAAAGATAAGTACACAATTCATTTTTCAAATTTTTAAATAATTTGATATGTTCAATGATGATAGAAAATTTAATTTTGCTTTTTGAATTATTTATTTACAAAGATATTGAAAACGTTTAAGTATCTATTTCATAATATTTAATAATTATTATTACGAAAACATTTTTCTCTTCTCAGTTAATATACTTAAAGTACAATTAAAATAACATAAAAGTAACTAATAATATCCAAAAAGTTAAAAAATTTATATCATATTGTTACTTCTTCCTTTTTCTTTTTTTTTTCTCCCCCTTTTTTCTTTTTCTTTTTTTTTATTTTCTTTAAATATATTGTGGTTTGTAAACTGGTTAAAAAATGTCAATATTCTGCAACATTTAACACGTTTTGTGCCAAACCGATTTTTGGATATTTTCTGTTCAGGCCGCGTGGGACGTATATGCCTCACACTGTTATGATTAATAGTTTTGCCTCTGACGTATGCCTTACAATATTTATAATAGTGAAAAAGATATAATTAGCAAAAAAAGGGTGTAGAGTTTAAGATGCATTAGACAACAAAGCAATAAATGATGTCTATACATGACGTTATAACAAAATAAAAAGAATTCTTCGTTTTACAATGAGAATTCAAACGGCCTGAACGGAAAGTTCAGCGTGGGGCGTATACGCCCCACGCGGCACGAAACGTGTTGAGCAATGAAAAATATTTCTTGATATATTTCAATACATAATTTGAAAGAACTCAAAAAATGAACTCAAAGTACATCCTACAGCTAATTCTGATCAATATTGGTATTGGTGGTTTTCATAATTATCACTATCTATTGTTGGATTTTATAAATTCTTCATCCAAGGAGTAAAAAATGTTTATATTACAGTTATAAGCAGAGGATTTAAAAGTATTCTACCGAGAATATGTGCAAATACTTATATTCTATGAAAAACTAGATAATGTGAAAATTACCATTAAGATAGTAAAACTTAAATTATTGTCTCAAGTTAATCAACTTTTGTATTTGTCATTTAATCTGTATGAAGTTTTTAAAATAAAAGAGATATATTTTTTAATATTTTTAAATAGTAATTTTCTCCTAAAGTACTATCACCTTTTATAGGTTTAAATTATTTCACAAATCTAGTTTTTCATTAAAATTGAAACTTGGTAGAGTATTTATATCATATCCTCTTGCTATGTTGATAAAAACTGCATAATATTACTATAAACGATTATATATTTTTGTAGCTCTAGAGAACTTGCGCTCAGAATAATTACTTCTTAGGTCAGTTTTTCATGCTCTTCCTTAATAAGTTTTAAGTATATTTATATAGCTGTTCAGTCTATATTTCGAGAGGTCTCAAATTTTGTCATATGCTAGAAGAGTAGAAAAACTGATCGTTTAGTTTTAGAAATATCAATACTATGTATATACATAAAAATTATGTCCAGGAAATTGTGTATCAATATTTTATTTAGATCATTTTAAAAATCAAGCAGTAGGAATGTAGTAAGGAGGCCTTGATTTTAGTTTCTTAAGACAAAAATTGTATTTATTACATTTGTTTGTATTTAAATTATTTATATAATTGACTTTGAAATCAAATTATTTAATTAATAAATTTAATTACATTTGGAATTCTATAATTGAATAAAAACAATGTTGAAAGAAATTAATATTAAATGTTAAGTAACTTATAAGTAAAAAGAGGATATAAAAATTATTACGATGCAGTTTCAGTATCCATCATAAAATCATAATGAAGGACAAGTAAGTATAGTACTTAATATACATTACCAGAATAGCACATTATTGATTTCTGAAGACATTAAATATATTTGTACACAGAGACTTAACTGGTAAATGTAACCACATATATCAGGTAATCATATATTTATTCTTTTATCTTGTTATGTGATTAATTTTGTACCTACAAAAATTTATATAACATAGAAACTATTTGTCAAGGCCATCCTCATACATATAAATTTAGCATACGTATACCAAAGTATATATTACCGTTCCTGGTTAAAAAAAGGTCCTGGAATTAACTAAAGTTAACAGTCTATTATCGTTTTAAAGTAATATATTAAAATAAATAACAAATCCCTTGCATAGAGTTATTATCCTCCTCTATTTTTACTAATATGAAGTATGGAGTGTATAAAAGTAGTAATATATTTCATTGATATCCTAAACCATTTACTTTATAGGTTTTGCTCAGATATTAATTTTCTTTTTATATATTTTTGGAAATGTTAATTATTCATTACAAATTTATGATAAAATATCGAAAATATGCAATTTTGTTCGCCTGTAAATACTCCAAAATAAAAATTACAAGGTAGTTAGATAACATCTAATTAAACTATCAAGGCTTAGGTATTACATATTCATACTTCTGAAATATGTTTATAATTAAAATTAAAAACACAAACGCAAAATCTTTATTATCATCAAAATTCCTGTGTACTTTTAATTAAAAACTAAACTATTTTATCTTGATACATGCAGTTATAAGTTTACTACTAATCTTTTATTGAATATTATATATTCAAGTACTAGTAATAAAAAACATAATAGTATACTCGTGGTAATGGTAATAATGGTTATAAAAATAAATCCAAAGTGCATTTTTAATATGAGTTTCTACTATTTTTCTTTTATATATAGTCCTATTCTGTATTCTCTATTTTGGGTATAATTCCTACTAATTTCATAAATTTGTAAGATTTGAACATCATTGCTAACTGTTATCTATTTGTTGTTAATCAATAAATTTATTTTATATTCTGTACTTAAAATACTGTAGATATTAGTATTACACAGAATATGGCTATCAGTTAACAGAAATGATAGAAAATACATATATTTATGAATTTAAAAAAGTAGTGGCTCTTTGTTTTTTGGTTTGTATATACTTATTGTAATCTTTCTTTGTGTGTTTCTTGAATCTTATTTTCAAAGGATTTCATGGAATGTGCTTGCATAATAATTTTACTTAATGACATAGTAATATTTACATTGTTTGCTTTTAAAAAATTAGCATTTCATAAACATTACATGGTATACAAAACAAACAGAAGCAAAATTTTTTTATTGAATATACTTAAATTGTGTTTTTTCCCATAACTGTAAATTCATTAACTGTAAATTGATTTATATGTAATATTCTAAATTACACAATACTTATTATCTTAAATATAAAATTCAAAATTTTTTATTAAAATGAGAACAATTCTTTTCTTTAATTTTTTAGATTGATTTCTTTATTATTATTGTTAAATAATTTTTTCATGTCCGATTTTTATTCTCCAGATCAAATTTGAACAATACTCAAGTCCTTTCCTGCAGTTCAAGTTGAATTCTCCAATTACAGATCTCAATAATAACTGTTAGTATTTCAATATAATTACAAATACTGCATAATTTATTTTACCAGATAAAAAACACAATTGCAAAAATAAAAGATCTTATTATTTTAATATTATATCTGAAAATATGTTAATATATATAATATTTGCTTTCTGTATTCTAATTTCAATATCTGCCAATAATGTTTGTGTAAATTAATAGTATACTTGTCTACACTTAAAAATATAAAATTTCTACATCTTGTATAATTTTTTCTTTTCTTAAAGGGAAATGCTCTTACTGTTCACATATATTTATGTATATGTAAATAAAGACAATCCTTCCCTCATTTTTCTCTACTAATAAAATTCTTCTTAATTTTTACAGTGTAGTACTTAATGCATCATAAAATAATTTTGGAATGTGACATGCTTGATATTGTGTAAAATTATCTATTTCAATTGCAAATGTGTCAAGATCTTAATTGTTGAATTTATTCATTTATTACATTATAGTAATATTATTTTATTTGTTATTGAAATGTTATAATTATATTAATATACCTTTAATATTACATATACATTTGCATAATTATATATGAGTGTGTATAAATATGTAAATGTAAATAGTATATACCTAGAATTAGAACAATTAAGATCTTGGAATGAAAATGTATTTTATACTGAAAATTTTAATATTTTGAATTCATCATAAGAAAAAATACAACTTTGTGTGTAATTCCATCATACATAGATTTATTGATATGATATTATTTATCTACGTTATTGTATATAATATACATAATTAAACACATATTTAATGAGTAAATTGTTATTTTGATAAGTGTGTGTGTTTTGCGAATGTTTACTTTTATTATCTTGCAAAATGTCTTATGAATTTTTAAGTAATTAACACATTCTACCATTATTTGCATTTTACAGCTTTTGATATTAAAAAAAGAATTTTTTAGTTTATTTATCATTTATTGCTATGTATATCTTAGATTGCTTTTTTTATTACAACAAACTTGAGTTTGGAAATTTTATTAGACATTGGAATGTATTCAGCATACTAATTCAAATAATTTTGTTATTTTAAACTAATAATAAAATGTTTTATATATAGTAGTAGTAAATTTTCTTAAGTCTTTTGATTGTTTTGAACACATTTTCTATCTCATAATTTTTAAAAATTAATATATTAATTTCAAAATGTAATATTTTCACAAATTAAATAAATAAAAAATTGGATGAACAATTTTTATTATTTGAACAATTAATATTGTAAAATAAGTGTATAATATATCAGATATAAACTTATAATTAACTAAGAAAAGATATACAGAAAAATATTTCATAGATACTTAAGGTCAATTTTTAATCAGTTTAAAATATAAATTAATTTCGAGAGATAAAAAAGTATTATTTAACATAATTTATTTCAATATTTGCCATACTTTCTAATAGATCAAGGTAATCATCTTTGTTTACATTTAATGTCTTACTAGTGTAAGTATGTAACGTATTTTATATCTTTAATTGGTGTCATCAATAGTTATTTTTTGCTATAGTATTAAGATAGACTATTTAGATTAGTCAGCAATTAATATTGTTAGGATAAAACGTCTGAAAATTGTTTATTCTAGGATTAATAATTTACAATTTTATATTTTTTAAAATAATAATATGAGACAAATAATATTCTACAGAGAAATACTAAGAAAAATTATTGCTTTTTTATTTTTTTATGTGTTAATAATAAGTATTTTAATGTAAGTCTAAAATATATGTACATAAAAATTAAAATACTATATGATGATATGCTTACAGAATTCTCATGCCAGTTAGTGTACACAATATGTATACAATTTGATACATGTGATATACAATAAACTGGCGAATCCAAAAATCATGAAAATGAGATACCAAGCAATAAGAACCACTGAGGAGTGCTTCATGAAGAGAGACTGTGGAATGGTAAACGAATGATGTTACAGGCATATTTAATTTCTGGTTAAATAATTTTGGGAGTTGCATTGTAATACTAAATTAAATTACAAAATTTATTGTACAAAGCATTTTAATTTTTAAGTAAAGATAAAAAATCTGATCAAGTTCTCTATAGCAATATATTATAGGTTTTTACTTTGAACATATAGTTAATGTTGTATATTATTATTCTTCTACTCAATAAATATTTATCATTTATATTTTCTTGATTTTCTATTATTTATGTAGTCCAAAAGTATATAAATTTGTACTTAAAACCCTGTATTGTATATTCCATATTCACAGTTAATTAATATTAAATTATAAAATGCACAACAATTGATAAGAAACAAATTATAATATATTTGTGATATCACAATAAAACTTTCTTTAGATAAAACATAGCCATTTTATATAATATATAAATTTTATATTATTAAGTTATGTTTACATTGCTTGTTGTGTTAATGAAAAATATTTTTTTTTAATTTTACTTGAAAAATATCTTATTACGACCTAAATTTGCATTTTTTTTTTAATTGAAGCACAAACTATGATGTGCTATCGAAATTTTTCAATTACTTGTGTTTATCAAATAACATTTACAAATTTGTGCTAATTTGTTTACAAATTTCAATGCATACTTAACATTGTATATAAGTATTTAATCATAATTTCAAAAAATAATTTTACTTGTATAATTTATAAAATACTATAATTTTTGAAAAATCGAACACGCATAATGTTACTTACATATAACTATACATTGTAACTATACTTATTCGTATAATAGATAATTTTACATTCCATTGTATTTGAAATTTAACAATTACGAAGTTAATTGATTCTATCGTTTTAAAATATTTCATACATAAAAGGATAATACTACACAAAGGAATTGCGTTATTACTAATTATTAATAAATTGATATTAAAATTAACTGTTTATAAAGAAATTATACTATTCATTTTTCTGCTACATAATCAGATAAAATCAAACATTACATATATACACGTTAATACAACACACACACACGCACACACGCATGTAATTAATGAATTTTTAAAAATAATATTAGAAATAAAATATAATTGGTGAAATGAACAACACTTCATTCCTATAAGTAATTCACAGATACTGAACAGTTCGAATTATTATAAATTCACAAAATGAAACATTTGAATAGAAAAATGTTATTTACTACAAGAATTATGTATATTTTAAGAATAATGTAATGGTGCAAGTATGGTACATCAATGAATTTGTGCTTTAGTAATAATAGCATACCAGTTATCTTTGATCTTTTACTAAATCTACATAATATACCTTTAACAATGTCTCAAATACAAAATTTATTTTGATGACATATATATTATTCTTAATTTTAACTTAATATAATCAAAAGTGATTAATTCAATACAAGTTTCTTTACATCCATATTATATATTGTCAGGTATGAAGTGTTTAACAAGTCATATCTTCTTATATATACTCAAAAGTATGTGTGAAACATGGTATAATCATATCTGTACAATAATAATAATATTTTTAAGATGTTGTTTCCTATGAGAAACATTATACCATTTATAAAACACATTAAGTAGTAGCAAGTAACAAGTTTGTTACTTAATTTGTTCAACTGTATATGTTAATAGAAAAACGAAATCTCATAGAGCTTAGAATGTTGTGTATAGTTATTACTATGACAACTTAGACACACATTAATAATATGATGATAGTAATGACACCATTAATGCGAGGAAATATTTTATGTATATGTTAACAGATACATAATTACACGAAGTGCGGTGAGCATAAAAAAGGCAGTCATTTTAAACTCACATCTTAATGATTCGTATTGATAAGTAAATAATTACTGAAAATGTGTATGTGTTGTATATGTGTATGAGCGCGCGCGTATGTGTGTATATATATCATGCGTGAATGTGTGTGTATATTTATATATATATATTAATATTGTTAGATGCATGTATGTATGTATGCATGTATGTATGTATGTATATATATATATACACACATATATAGTGTCCAAACGCTTGCTTGTACACTTACAAAATTTGTACCACAGAATTACAATCTATTATGAGCGTACTAAAAGTATTTGGAATTATATTACAAGTAACAGCACAAATCAGTATATTATATAAATAGTTTAAAGTAAATTAATCATCAGATCTTACAAAATTTTTTTCGCGGAATTAAACTATTTCACATATCATAGATGAAGTAATAAATCCATACGTATATTTACAGTACATTATACTTTTAAACATTCATCCCTCGTCTCAATGTTTCACATTTATAAAGCATTGTCAATTTTGTCTTTTGATACATATGTTCTTACACAGGTAATTTGTATAAAAAGAGATTTGTTAATTAAATACAACAGTCTATTTGTTTGTCGTCCAACCACGCCAAATAGAGGCTATACTAGCTGCAGCACTCGTAACTAAACCTCCAGCAACACTTTGATTCACTTGCATACTAGAAGATTGTTGACTAACCATTGTACCAGGAATGGGTACTGCCATTTCAGGACAAGCAACATTTGGTACCTATGAAAATAAAATATTTTTATAATATACTCAAAATTTTATTACATAATAGATAATAAATAAATAAAACAAAACTTACAGCTTCCCAATCCCAATTAAAAGTATCTTCCTCTTCATCGGAAGCAAAATCGTCGCTATTTTCTAAGTCGGGGACTAATTGACTGTGCAATTGTGCTACAATATTTGAATCAACTTCCATTGGACCAATTCTGTTTTAATATACACATCATTATATAATCTATTAACATTTAATAACAATAAATGTAATAAATATGTACCTTCCAAGATCACTAATTTCAGTATTGAGCAAGTGCATCAGGTTTTGAAGAGTATGCATTGGATGTAAAACTGCAATATTGGTATTTTGTGTAAAACATAAATGTAATACATTACTATTGAGCCTTGCTACTTTCTTGGCAAATTTTTGATCTGACATTTCATTTCCACAAAATTCTCTGAAAAAATTTAAAATATATATTTTTAATAATAATATTATATCTCTATTACCATAGTTGATAATACATTTGCATATAAAAAAATAAAATATCCTCTACATACCCATAAGCAAGTTTATATGGTAGCCTTACATTAACATAATAAGCAATAATATTAACCAACTGTGTAGCATAAGTTAAAGCAGCACTGATATTGTATGCTGGATTGTGCATTGCAGTTTCTTTATTTGCACCTGGAACTCCATCTTTATTTGCTGCCACTAGAAAAATGAACTTGACATTTATAAAGTTTATTAAAAATATATAAGTTGAACGATATATGTACCCCATAGAGAATAAGCACTATAATCTCCACTTCCTGGTAACGTTGATGCAACTATTCTGTGCTGAACCTCTAAAGCATTTTCTATATCATTAATCCATCTGCCTCTAACATATGATGTTCCAGATGCATCTGCTAGTGCACATGTTACATCTGAACTAGCATCTTCTTCACTGCTACATAAACTAAAAGCAATTAATATTTTATTATCAATTTTTATTAATTAAAAGCAAAAAAAGGAAAAGAAGGAAATGAAAAATCCAAATAGAAAAATATTTAACAAATATTTTGATCATGTTTTATAAATGTTAATAATTTTTTTAAACATAAATTAATGGATTATTACCTTCTGTTAGGTTGCACTTTAGATAATGGAAAAATATATTGTATTAATTGTTTTGCAGCAGTTCTGATGACTTTTTTCAACTGCTGCCTTTTTCTATCTACTGCTTCTTTTTGTTTTTCTTGTTTTGCTTTCAAACCAGTAACATACCGATGTAATTTTTCTACTCGTTCTTCGTGTCTAGGTAATCTAAGTGCTAATTGAGAGTTTACATCTTTGAGAACATTTAGACGTTGATTACCTGCATATTATTAAACTTCTTTCAATATCATAATTTTCTAAATACTATAATATTATAGTATATATACCTCTGTTTATACTTTGTCTGGTTTCATTTACTAATGACTGAAGTAGTTTAACTCTTTCTTTGCAAGTATTTATATCACATATCTATAAATCCAAAGGGTAATTAAGTGTAACACAGCACAAAAATTTGTATGTTTATGTTCTAATAATTATTAATTTTAAAACATTAGATAAAAAATACCAATTTATCCCTTTGTTTATGTTTTTCAAAAGCTTTTACACATTTTTCTTCTAACTGAACTCTGGCAGCTTTTAACCGTAAAAGTCGCAATTGTTTATCTGCAAATCTATTTAAATGTCAATCAGAATAAAGTACAATTATTTAAAAATAAAAACATTTAAATGTATATTAATTATTAAATTATTATTCGTGTAATTTACAAATTTAGGAATAGAAACATTGAATCTTGGTAACAGAAGTTTTTTCATGATTTAATGACAATGAAAATTGATTTATATTTAATATTACCAAAAATATTTAAAGAATACTAGGTGTCAAATAAGACTTTAATACATAAAAATAAATCGTCACTGAACACGTAAATTATATGTATATATTTACCGTTCGGAATAAACAGAAGTTGAATGAATAAAATCACCATTTTGAATACACTGTCGACAATAAAAAATTCGACGACTATTATGGCACAGTGGGCACTTTAATAAATTCACGCTTAAACGATTCGAAACATCTTCCAACTCTGAAGAAAGCTGAAAATCTGCAGGTGCTGTACAGGATCCATCAGAACTGCTTGTCGCCATAACCAAGACCAAGAACAATAGGCTTTTCTTCGTCTGTTGTCACTCATCAGCTGATCTGCTATTTACTTGTAATCTCCCGCCACTCCGTACATGATATTGTTTTTATCGCGTATCTTTATTTTCATATTTATTTATACTACATACGCACAATTCAACCTTAGATAAAATTTCCATACAATTCGACGAGTAATCGTTGAATTATGGAAAAAACAAACTTAAATCTTAACTTACGTATCTCATAGCTGTACCGTGACAGTAATCATCTTGAAAAAATCCCGTTATGCTACGCGATAAGGAAAGAAATAAAAAATGTTTATATATATAAATCACAGAAAGCGTTTGTAAATACAGTTAAGCTCATAAAACAAACAAAAAATCAATCTAAATAATATTACAATTTTATTTTCTTCAAAATACATACAAATTAGTCAAATCGTATTAAAAAATAAATCATTTATACTCCATCTATTATATTACTTAAATTAAATATTTTATATTAATTTTTAGTTATTAATTACTTTTACATTTTTTGTTATAATTTATATATGTATAAAGTTATGAAATATCTATTACATATAATAATAGTTATTCCTTTCTGTTACTGCGAAATACCGGGACATCAGTCAAATTTCCATTGCACCGTTTGTTGATCACTTTCTAAACTTAAGAAGATATTTTGAAATGTTTTGTTTTCAAAAACTTCAAATATCCATATAGAGTTAAATTAATTTATATGGTACGAATATTATTATTTTGAAAACGTTTTAACATTTTTTAATGATTATTTCATGATTTTTAATGATGTATTTATCCATAGTTAATTACATTATCATATTAGGTTAAATTGAGAACCCACATAATGTATTTCATAATAATTGGAAAATAAAAACATATTCTGAATGAATTTTTAGGTATTCTCTATTATTTGTATATATTTTAATAAGTGATAAAAAGAACAAAAATAATGACGTCAATTATAAAGCTTCACGCTGTTTCTGGAGCTATGGATGAATCCCCTCCTTGTTACATATTGCAAGTTGATGAATTAAGAATATTACTTGATTGTGGATGGGATGAAAATTTTGATCACGAATTTATAAAAGAACTGAAACGGTAAACAAATTATTATATGGTATTAGTGCAATAAGAAATTTAAACAATATAATACAATATTGTTATTTTGTAGACATGTTCATCAAATAGATGCAGTACTTTTATCATATCCAGATCCATTGCACTTGGGTGCCTTACCATATTTAGTTGGAAAATGTGGTTTAAATTGTCCCATATATGCTACTATTCCTGTATATAAAATGGGACAAATGTTTATGTATGATATGTATCAGGTAATCTTGATGAAAAAAATTACAACTTTCTTTTATACTTTTTATTTTAAATTCAATTTAAAAGTTCAATTAAAAAATTTGTTAGTCTTGATAATATCATAAAAAAGAATCACAAAGAATGTTTACATTTCTTTTTATATAGTCCCGCCATAATATGGAAGATTTTGATCTTTTTACACTTGATGATGTTGATGCAGCATTTGATAAAATAGTTCAGTTAAAATATAATCAAAGTATTTCTATGAAAGGAAAAGGGTATGGAGTTACTTTAACACCTTTACCAGCTGGTCATATGATTGGGGGAACTATTTGGAAAATTGTAAAAGTTGGTGAAGAAGATATAATATATGCTGTTGATTTTAACCATAAAAAAGAACGACACTTAAATGGTTGTGAGTTAGAGCGATTACAAAGACCATCCTTGCTAATAACAGATGCTTTCAATGCTACATATCAGCAAGCAAGACGCAGAACCAGAGATGAGAAGTTAATGAGTATGAAATTATATTATTTATAATAATTCTAGTAATTTTTTGCAGTACTTTATAATTAATAATATTTTACAGCAAATATTTTACAAACATTACGTGGAGGTGGAAATGTTTTGGTTAGTGTAGACACAGCTGGTCGTGTGTTAGAATTAGCTCACATGCTAGACCAATTATGGCGTAATAAAGAATCTGGTTTACTGGCATATTCCTTAGCTCTTTTAAACAATGTTAGTTATAATGTTGTTGAATTTGCTAAGTCACAAATAGAATGGATGAGTGATAAATTAATGAGAAGTTTTGAAGGAGCTAGAAATAATCCTTTTCAATTTAAACATTTACAACTATGCCATAGCATGGCAGAATTAAATCAAGTTCCAAGTCCAAAGGTTAGAATATTTGTAATAGAACTAATAACTTGTGAATGTTATAAATAAATTTATATACATATAAGAAATGCGTGTATTCTAGGTTGTTCTTGCAAGCACACCAGATATGGAATGTGGTTTTTCAAGAGAGTTATTTTTACAATGGTGTGGTAATCCTCAAAACAGTATTATATTAACTAGCAGAACATCACCAGGTACACTTGCAAGAGATTTAGTTGAAAAGGGAGGTAATAGAAATATTACATTGGAGGTAAAACGGAGAATAAAGTTAGAAGGACTTGAATTAGAAGAGTATCAAAGGAAAGAAAAATTAAAACAAGAACAATTAAAGCAAGAACAAATGTATATAATTATATATATTATATATTATTAGAAAGATTTACTTATTATCAAAATATCTTGTATTTTATGTTGCTTTTTAGGGAAACTGCTGATGTAAGTTCTGAATCAGAAGATGAAATAGAAGTTGGTGGAGGGAGAGGAAAACATGATTTATTAGTTAAACAAGAAAGTAAGCCAGGTTTCTTCAAACAAAGTAAAAAACAACATCCTATGTTTCCATTTGTAGAAGAAAAGATTAAAATTGATGAATATGGAGAAATTATAAGGTATTACTTCAATAAATTAATGATAATAATGTATAATAATTTGTTGAAGTATTTATATTTATTCATATAATTCATAGGCCAGAAGATTATAAAATAGCAGAAACTATGCCAGAAGTAGATGATAACAAAGAAAATCTGGAAACAAAACAAGAAGATGCTGCTCATCATCCAGAAATACCTACTGATATTCCAACAAAATGTATTCAAGTTACACGTACAATGACAGTTAATGCATCTGTTACATACATAGATTTTGAAGGCAGATCTGATGGAGAATCATTGCAAAAAATTCTAGCACAGTTAAGACCACGAAGAGTTGTATTAGTTAGAGGATCACAAAAAGATACTGAAATCCTAGCTCAACAAGCACAAAGTGGAGGTGCACGAGTATTTGTTCCGGGAAGGGGAGAAACATTAGATGCTACAACAGAAACACACATATACCAAGTAATATTTAATTCGGTTTTGTAAATAAGTGAGTTACAAATGATAAATTTTGCATTTCCTTCAGGTACGTTTGACGGATGCCCTTGTTAGCGGTTTGAATTTTTCAAAAGGAAAAGGTGATTCTGAAGTAGCATGGGTTGATGCAATGATAACTGCACGCGATCAAGTATGCCGGGATGCTATCGCTGATACGGAGTCAAATGATACAATAGATCAAAGTGACAAAATATTAACACTGGAGCCGCTACCATTAAATGAGGTATGTAATCATACAAAAATAAAATCATGATATTTACAATACAAATGTATTTATAATTTATAGGTGCCTGGACATCAAACAACATTTGTAAACGAATTAAAATTGTCCGATTTTAAACAGATTTTGAACAAAAGTAATATTCCCTCTGAATTTAGTGGAGGTGTTTTATGGTGTTGCAATAATACTATTGCTGTTAGGAGGGTTTGTATTTTAATATTATCAAAATATAATAATCTGATATGATAAAAAATATTTTATAATTTGATTTTTTTTAGCATGAAGCTGGAAAAGTAATATTAGAAGGTTGTATTTCGGAAGATTATTATAAAGTACGTGAATTATTGTATGAACAATACGCAATTGTATAAATTATCTTTATATTATTAAATATAACTTTAGTATAAGAATTTCTTTCATTTTTTGTAATCCAAACTTTTTAAATAATTTTTAAAAAATGTTCTTAAACGTTACTTAAGGTGAAATGTGAAATTCAATAAATTTTAAGTTTAAATATTTAATGAAATGAATGTTTTGTATATATATAAATACATGATGTATTCAAACCATTTTTAAAATTGGCGCGAAAATGTACTAACCTCACACTTTTTATTTGGTTATCAAACACTTAAATTAATGTTCAGTAAAACATAGTATTTAAAGACAAGTTATTAAGATTATTTTCTTAACGTAAACACAGTGTAAAAACTGAAAATTAAATAAATAATATATTTATCAGTTCATCTGTAAGTGGAGTATATTACAATAACATACGATAATTTACCTCGAACTAAAATTCTTAAATACGTTACTTTCAAAGTGTATGTACACAAATTACAATTTATAAAACTTATATAAAGATAATATCTAATACTTTTAATACAATTTTTGTTTCAGAAATTTACCCATGCTTGAAATAATCCAATTTACAAATTATCAGTTGCTATACATTAATTGATAAAATTACTATATCATTGTTTATTACATTAAATTTTAAATCATGCGAAAATACTATCGGGCTGCTCTCGTAATAATTGCTGTAGTCAGTTTTATATCTTTGTTAGTTTATAGACATGAATATAATAAGTTAAGATATGTTTTAGAAGTTTTTAATTACTTTGGCAAGCCAAATCAGAAAAATGAAACAAATTGCACAAATAACGTGTCAATGTTTACTAAATTTGATATGAATTTTGAAGAACCATTTTCTTCTTGGCAAAGATTAGACAATGATTTATATGTTTACTCTGCATATAATATACGTGACAAAGAAATTCAAGTAATAGGTTTTGGTTCATTAAAAAATATTAAAGATATACAATGTGCGATATTATTTGAAAATGAAATTAAACCAATTTTAGGAAGCTTTAGTTACCTCTTAATTCATAATAATTTAAATATTACAAATACTGATAAGAATTTTAATTATAAGGGATATCATTTTTATTGTGCATACACTGAAAATAAAATACCTATTGGAGTAATGTTTCTTATAAAACCTAATTCAAATCTTAATGATGTGCTTATGTTACCAATCAAAAATCAAACACATAATTTAAATTATGCTAATATTGGAGTATGTATAACACCACCATTTACCAAACCAATACAACCATTACAAATGACTAGTTTTATAAAGTTTCATGGCATAATTGGTATGGATAATTTTATAGTGTATGACTTTGGTATTCCAAATCAATATAATAGCAATTTTAAAGAACTTTCTAAATCTCAAAATCCATATTGGAAATTTACATATACATTAGTGCCATGGAATTTTCCTTTTCCTAACACTCATCCTACTATAATAAGAGATCTGATTCAAGCAGATTGTCTATATCGTACATATAATAAAGTTATGTACATTATTACTTTATCTTGGGAAGAATACATTGTTTTAAAATATCATCATACCCTTGTAGATTTAATGATTGACTTTAAAAGATCTGGACTAAAAGCTGATTGTTACAAATTAAAAACATTAACTTTTTGTACACAACAAACAGATGCAAGTAATAAAAATGTTACATTTATGATATTTAAAAAATTACATTATGATTCAAGTATTCCTGATAATCAACCAATTTATATTTATAATACACATGAAGTATTAAGAAAAAATAATATTTATACTCGAGACATTGGAGAAGATTTAGTTACACTACATCGCTATAAATATTGTTTTGGAAAATCAAGTACAGAAACAGACACTGAAGATACTTCAATTTTAAGATTCATTGAAGATATGGAGAATTCACAAATATTTAGGAAATTTATAACACAAAATAAATCTTTACTGAATAATAATAAATGATAGTTAGATTTAATGTATTTATAAGATAATTTTAATTTCTAAGTTTAATTCATTTATATGTATCGTGAGATATAAATATAAGAATGTAATTATATAATATAATGTATATAAAAATTTGTTACAATGTAGATTTCAGTATTTATGATTCCACAATTTATGTATAAATATTTCAATTTCCCAATATCGTTTTTTATACTAAATACTTTTCACGTACGTCTTTAATTTTAAATATTTATTTATCAAAAGAAATGGTATAAAAACATATTTATAACTTATTTAGCAGCATAACTTAAAAGAAAATTTTATATCCATTTTATTGTATTACAACTGTAATTGCCTATATATAAAAGTTGCGTATAATAAATACATATAAATTGAATGATTTTATTGCAAACTTTACAAAGGTTTTGTAATTTTATTTTATGTTAATTGAAATTTTAATATTAGATTTGTTTTCAATAAAATATTTCTTGTATTAGCAAAACCAACATTATATAATGAAAACTATACTTAAAATTAAAATAAACAATAGTAAAGTGCCATTCAATTACTAAAGTGTGTTGAAATGTTATTTTCAAGTATTTCAATATATATTTAAGAATCGTCTAATCAATACATCACTTAAACTCCCATAACTAAGGATCTAAAAAAGACATTTATTTCAGTCGTTGAATTATTGTCGTATTTTGTAAACCAGCTTCTTCAATAGTTTTATCTTCTGTAAGCTCCTTAGTAGGATACATCGTTAATAAACTAAATTCTCTCATAGCATATTGAGGTCTCATGCTAAGAAATAATTAAGGAATAATATATATATTACAAATAATAGTGATTAATTATATGAATATATTAACAAATCAATGTTATTTTAATATAAGCAATATTAATTAAAAAAGGATACGTTATTATATATTGCCTCAAGTCATTAATAGTATGAGTTAAATTAAATTGAGCTTTTACACTAGTTCCATCAGCAAGACGAATTTGTAATGTTGTAACAGGTTTTGATTCATCTAAATTTAATTTTTGCTTTGCCTGAGATTCATTTGCTGCTTGATCTGCAAGATCTGTTGGTATTGTCATGCCAACAGTAGCTGGAGAAGGGCTGAACACAAATATTATTAAAAATGTTTAAAATATACTGAACAAATAATTTTTATAAAAAATATAAATGTTTTAAATACCTCCCTAGCATATGTCCTTTTCCACTAAAAGCTTTCACCTTAATTTTTGGAGGAACATATGTTTCATGATGATGATCTTCCATGTCAAGACGTGCTTCAGTACCTTGTATCTCTTGACGTATTTCTGCTGGTACTTCACCTCGCTTTATAGTTTCAAGAAATTCTCTATTTTCTGGATCACTATATAATCGAAGTTCAGAATCATTTATAGTAAACCCATCTTTCCATAATTTTAAGGTAATTAATCCAGAATTTGTTTGTTGATGATTAGATGATGTAGCAGTAACAACTGAAATAAATAAGATAGTTATTTTGATGTTATATAACTTGTTAAAAGACATAGTAAGACATAGTAATAATTTTGATGACATACTTTCAGTATCTGAACTAGTTTGACCTAACTTGTAACCCGTACCGCTAAAGGTATTTGGTCTTTGATGTCCACTTGATTTTGGTTCTACAGCAATTGATTGTCTCTGACATGATTTAAACATATCACTAACAATATCTTTTTTCTTCCCTGGTCCTAAAATCTGTTGTCCAGTATGTTTAGAACCACCAGCATAAAATGCTTGTCCTTCCTCATCTTCAGGGCTGCTTTCTCTATCTTTAAGATCACTAAGTATTGCATATTTGGACTTTGGTTTTACTTTTTCTTTTGATGATTTTCCTTCCATTTCTGATGATTTTACACTTCCTGTATTTTTATCTGAAATATCAGCACGTTCCTCTTCTGATGCTGAACCTTCAGCAGGTTCATTAGATAATGAAGGTAAAGCAAGAGGATAATAAAATGTGTCAAGAGCAACCTAAAATGTTTTTAAGTAATTGATAGATGTATTTAGATATATATAATAAAACACTTAAGAATAAACTGTGTGATTAATAAATTGTATTATTAAAAAGATACAGAATAGAAAAATTGGTTTATGACAACTAATCTTATTTTTAGATATATTATCATTGACAATATTTCTAAAATAAAATATTTAATAACTTTAATTACGTTATTGCAACATTATATATTTTTTGGTTAAAATATGTCTTTAGCAGAGTAACAGAACAATAGTCAGCTTCAAAACATTAAAATCATGCAATTAAGTATTTTAAGCGTATTAATATATAATAAATTTAAGGTTACGAAGCTGGCATTGAAGATCAGTAGGAAAATATAGTTTTAATGATCTAAAATTATAACTTTTCGTATTAAAGTTTATAAAAGATGTAATAAATATGCTGCCTCACCTCGAGTTGCCAATTAGATAACTCAAGATAAAATTGTGCTTCTTCAGGTTCAACCCCAGTTGTATCTATAAATTGCGAAACCAACTCATCATGGTTCGCCATTGAAAACAAATATTAAACCACTCACAATATATTGCAACTTATGCTTGCAACTGTAGCTTCAAAAATTCCTCTTATAATAATTTCCTTTGTTCGGTAATTCAACTTTACGTCAATTTCTTCAATTTACCTGTCATTCCTTCCATTTATATGGAACTGAACCGGATATATACTCAGTGAATGAATCCGCGAAATGTTTGAATATACATTTCGATTTACGTCTAATTTTTTTTTAATTTTTTAATTTCGTTACTTTGTTATATTTGTATTTAGTTTGTTTATTGTATTTTAAATATATTAATAAGTATTATTATAAGAAATATACAAATACATTATATGAAAATTGTTTTCTCTTTGTATCTTTTATATAACTTATTTAACATTGTAATGTATAATGTATTGGTTTACGACAAAATAAAGCCGTATCACACTTTATCCAATGAGTGGAAGATATATCAGTTTCTAAAGGTATAGTAATTATATGATTCTTTAAAGAAGATTTAGTGTCTTTACCATTATATTGAACGGCACATATATAAACAGGGCATTCGTAAACACTATCTCTATCTTTTTTATTTCGTGAACATTTAAGATATATAGGTGGCATGTTTTGCCATATATCATTTGTAACATTTTCGACTAATTTATTTTCTTTTATATTCCATTGACCACCACATAAATGCAATCCATAAATTACATATGTATCAATACTGTCTTGATCAATTTCTTCCTTTATTGATATTTCAAAATCAAAGTAGGTTTCTTCAATAGGTATATTATACCTTTTAGAAAATGTGAATAATATTGCAGAAAGAAACATTTTATAATGAAATAATGCATCAAACCAAATAATTTTAGGATGCCCTTGATCAATCCAATTTTGAATAAAATTTGCATGTTTTAATAAATTATCGATGTAATCCGCTAAATTTTCAGTAACAATATTGATTTGTAGTTTTCTCCAAATGCGTGGAAGTTTATTTTTATATATTTCTTCTGCTAATTCTCTTAATGAATTCGTAAAAGGAAGATAACCATTGAGTGTAGATTTTAAATTATTCAATGTTTCAGTTATAATTTTTAAAATATGTTTTAATGATTTGATTTCACAAAGAAGAACTCTTTGTAAAGGTTCTTCAGGCATAGAAGTACACTTTTGTTGAATTTCATTAATTTTAATTGAGTTCCATAATTTATTATTGATATCATTAATCAAAGTTATTACTTGATCTTGCTGTAATCTTTCATTTAGTGAATGGTTTGGAGAGGTCACATATAAAAGAGATGATTGAAATTCTGTAGCTATCATAGTATTTCGAATAATAAGACTATTTTTGTTAGACTCAAAAATTTGTAGTGACAAATGTAATGGGATTTTTTCAATGTGTTCAATTATGTGATGATATTCATATCTTTGTGGTATTAACTCTTTTATACTATTTGGATATGTATAGTGTTCATTTTCAATTATGTTAATATTACAGTACTCATTTAAAAGATGTTTCAAATATCTATTGTCAAATTCATCTTGGATTTTTCCCCCATAATTACATTCCCCAATAAAATATTGGAGAGTATTGAAAGGTACATAATCTGTACTATTTATCAAATTTTGTAACTGCATGATAGAAATTTGAAGATCAGTATGATTAAAATTATATGGTACATTCCATCCTTGAATTCCAAAATTTTTCTTTTCTTGTATAACCATATGGAAAAGACACATTCCAAATAGGAGTTTTAAAAATACTTTATGTTTCCCAGGACAACCTTCAAAAAATTCTTTATTTATTATAGGTTCAGATTGGTAAATATTCAATAATGCTTCTTTGAAATCCAAAGGATAATCATGTACAATTTTTATGCTATTTTGCAAAATACTAATTGGGAATTCTTTGGTGGAATAACTGGATAACCACAATCGGAAATCTAAAGATACATTGGAAGTACTACAACTTTCACAAATTCTTTCTAGATCAACCATCCAATGAGTTACTAGATGACAATTTTGTAAAAACACCCAACTTCCCTCTTTTTGAGCTTTCTGTATGAGAAATTCAGCTTTTTCTTCTTGACCTTTACTCATAGATAAGGAAATGAACTTTGATAAGTAGCCTTTAGTTTTTGCATATGCAGAAATAAGAGATAATGGTGCTAAACAAGTGGGTAAAATAAATAAAAGTGGAGTTAAACAGCTAGATTCTGCATATGACTGGGAAATTTTTGTCTTTGCAAAATTATTTTGTGTATTTCCCAATATATTATTTGTCATTTGCATAATTTGTGTTACAATTTTATCAAAATGTAAAATTTTTACAAGAATAAGTTTTTGGAACAAAGATAAATTATTAATCCAAGGTTCTGGTATCAAGTGATCTTCAAGTGACTCAGAATTATAATATTGTCTCCAAGCATTTTCATTACAATAGAAATGATCTGCAAGATTATAAAAGGAAGGAAGTGTTTTACTGAGATTATAAATATTTATCCAAACATTTTGTGGAAGCCAATCCAATTTCGAATTTGGAATTGTATTAATACAATTTGTATTTGGTGTTATAAAATATTTAATTTCTTCTTCAGTTGTTTGTTGATCATTTAACAGAACTTTTGAACACAATAAAAAAGAATATAATATTTTATGTTTCTCTAACAAAGATCTGCAAATGCTAGAATAAAGGCTTTGAGTAAATGAAGCTTTTAAACATTTCAATCGTTTTTCAAAGATAGTACTTCTATTTGATGACTCAATTGTCCTCCTATACAGTTGCATAAACCACGAAAAAGAGAAACGATACATATGATTTATATATGATAAATCATTTAATGTATTAAATAAATCTACGCAGTATTTAACAAAATGTACATAAATATTTCGAAATTTTCTTATTTTTAGCGACATTATTTTCGTTAGTTCTTGTTCTTTAATAATACGAGAAGAGAGATTTTTTGAAAAATCCAAACTTTTTATAGCAGTTTCATCTTCAAGAATGTTTGTTGTTGTTGAAGATAAGATATTTAAAATAATATCTTCTTGTTGCTTTAATATATTTTTATTGTCAGCATCTTTCACAAGTAAAGTTTCAAATTTTTCTTGTAGTTCTGGTTTTTCTTTAGATATAATCAGGTCAAGAAGTTTATTTTCCAAAGCTTCATTTGGAATAAAAAAGTTAATTACTGTAAGTTTACTAAATATTTCACATGAAAACTGAGGATTGAGTATTCGTGTTGTAAGATATAATCGAAAATCAAATGAATATTTTATATTATTATAACCAGTGTCCAAGTATGAACATTTTTCGTTATTATACATGCTTTTTAAAAGAAAAGGATACAATGATATTTCTAGCTCTTCTCCTACATTTTCAATTAAGGTAGGAATACCATTTTCAATATTATATTGAATAATTGATAAGTAATTAGAATCGGTAAGCTTAATAACTTGCAGATTATTTCTTTTTTCAACTTTTTTAATCCATTCATTTGCTTGGTTTTGTGAATCAATAAATAAAGGCCATAATTTGGAATTAGACATAATAATTGCATTTTCAACTAAAAAACTATTTTTAGGCAAACCAAAAAAATGCCAATAATTTATCTTACTTTCTTCTCCAAGTATATTTACTAAATTATAATTTTTACTATATGATATTTTCAGAACTTTCATATACTGTTTCCACTGCTCTAAAATTTTGTTACGAAATACAGTATTATATGATGCTACATAACTTATAATTCCACATGTTAATATCATGTCTCCTACAAGATTATCATAATTGTTTTTAAGATTTTCTGTAAACTGCATCCAACGATTTTTTTCTCCTCCTAAACTTTCCATTAGATTTTCAGCTTTATTGAGTTTAATGGTACAATTTTCTACTTCCTTCTCTAGCTTTATTTTCTGCTGCAATGTTTCTTGAAGACTGTGATTCAAAACTGCAAGTTTAGTATTTAACATGGAAAGTGTTTTTCGTTTTTCATTTAAGAAAGCTTCAGCTTCATTACATTCTTTTTGTGCAATAAGCAACTTTTCTTTCTTAGGAGCCACTGCCTTTGCAACTTCATCATAAGATACCATTGCACATACCCATTTACAAAGACCTTCTGCAGCACTTGATGCTTTGGCAACAATATGTGGCTTAAAATTGTTGTCCATTATATATGTTTTCCTAATAGTTTGTATAATATTAGATGGAATGTTATCTTTATCATAATCTTTTAAAATTTGTAAAAAGTTCATGTCACTTAAAATGCGTTTGCTTGGACTCCAATAATCTGTATATTTCTTTCCAGTAACTGAATCAATAACTCTGTCTGGAGGAATATCAAGCATTACACATATTGCAGCCATTACTAACTTGACAGTATCAGGAGGATTTTTCATAGCTTTAACTAGTGTAATATCTGTAGGTTTTAGTGTATTTAATGCTGCAATGGCATCTTCTAAAATTGGAATTGCTACAGCTAAATCAGCTTCACATTCAAATTTTAATTTCCCAGCAATTTCTGTTTTCCTATTTGCTATTTCTTCTTCCTGTTGCACAATAGCAGTTGCTTTTTCTACACTAACATTTTCATTTTCGACTTTTCTCATTGTAATTATTGTTTTTTCAGCAGATAATTCTAATTGTGGTTTTAACATTGTCAATGTAGTTTTCATCTTTACTACTTGTTGAGCTGATAATTGTAATTTTTCTAAACCTGTTAAATATCTGTTTTGCATTGTAATAATAGTTTTTTGCTGTTTATATAACAGATGAATATACAATTTCAACATATGTAAAAATGTAGATAATGTAACATAATTTTTTGTGCCAGTTTCTTTGTAATATTCAGTACTTACATCTTGTGCGTAGTTATGTATTTGTATGCAATTTTTTATTACATTCAGCTTCATATTTTCTTCTATATTAATGTTTTCAACATATTTCAAACCTATCTGTAAAAGTGTATCTGTTGGCCACATTTCATACCAATTTATTGTACAGTACTTTATTAATTCTGGATACTTATGTAAATATAATCTTATTTCTTTATTTGTTACAGTAAAACAAATTATAATGTGTAATTTATTTCTACATTGTTCTAAAAAATAGTTCATTACAGCATGGTTACTTATTTCTTCATTTTTATTGCCACTTTGAGCATGCAAACGTATCATTTCTATAATATTACACCTTTCTTCAATAGAAAATAAATCAGGTATTTCTCCAGTAGCTAATAAGCAACAAATGTCATGAAGAAAATC